AGCTGATATATTAAGAAAAAAAGTCAGAAAACTGATAGGAAAAACGTCATAGAAACATTTGCACCCAAAACCAGAAGGTCAGACAAATTGGTAGTGTCATTGCAAGAATATGTCCAACGACTACTTCAGCATCCATATCCAGCTATCTACCATTGCCGCATTACATGTGCTTTGGAAATAGTAAATGAGCATGCAGGTCTTTGATAAGACCAAATATGAACAGATAAGAACTAACAAGATGAAGATGCAAATGTCTAAGATACATGATATAAAAATATAGAAAAAAAAAGAAACAACAAAAATTTGCAGCTAATCAGTCATGAGATACATGATATTATGAAAATTTCATTGCTTAATGTATCATCACCTTGTGCAAGCTTTAGTACAGCTGCCGTAATGAAGATGCTCAAAACCTTAAGGAAGACATCACCCTGAAAGATGGAGCTCAACTCTCCGGATCCATTCCATGCAATAACGATCATCGCCTTAACAAGAAACGATATATCAAATATCATAACAGGTCAAGAAAATACAATATTAGAGAGATACTAAATACAAGATATTGGTACCTGCAAACACAGGATGTAAAAACTCCACATTCTATCAAAACTTCTAAATATATGCCAGAAGGAGCGTATCTCAACAAAATTGACTTTGCCCATCCACCGATCTCCACTATTTGATTTTATCTGCAGCATTGTGAGCATAAATCATTAAATTGTAGATACAGAAAACTTTAGGCAAATGACTCTAAACCAATTTACTGACTGAAATAACTCTAAGACATGACAATCAGTCTATAAGCTAATAAAGCAAGATTTATTATGAACATAACACCTTAGATAACATGTTTAGGATCCATAAGACCAATTTATGCAATGCTAACATAAGCGGAAATATACATATACAACCCATTATTTAGTCTCTATTACTCATACCTCACTTTTCTCAACTCGAAGTTCTTCAGCTGTATGACAAAAGAAATCCGCATCAGCTCGCATAGGCCACCCCAAGCGAAAACATCGAACTGACCTGCAAAGTTACAGGGACAAGGAATTTAGACCACCTTGAATTCTGAAGGATAGCGTGACATACAAAAAGGTGATAAGATGATAATCTGCATTTACCAAAAATATTCATTTAAGTCATCATAATTTCTCCACACAGAATGCTTTGACTTTCCTCCTCTACTTCTCTTTGCTTCCTGTAATGATGCATTAAGATCTTGATGAAAAAAAGAAAGAAAGAACAGCTAGAATCGAAGGAAAGCTCAAGAAGAAAAGATGGCTGCAACTAGAACAACTGAATCAAGTAACCTTTGCTATTGTCTGATATATAGGAGTAACTACTTTCTGCAGGAAAGCTTCATCGTCACCACCATAAGCTGGCTTTACATGCTCCCCAGTCATTTCACTAACACTACCAGCCAACATACCATACAACTCGAAAGCCATCTGAACAGATATGAAAAATCACAATTAAACTTAAACAGCTAAGAAAAATGTTATTCTTCACAAATAATTAGAAATCTGACTGGCTAAATTGGATCCATACATGGTGGTATATATAGCAAAGGCATTCTGGCATGAATCTCAGGTTTGCAGCTTCTCCCCAAATTAAAAGGTAAAGTCCCATGTAGAGCAATTTACGCTGTTGTACCTCTTGTTGAATAGTCGGCAACCTTCAAGTACCAATAAGAGAATAAGGTAGGGATTATGAAATCTTTCTTTCATATTGGTAAGGTAGGGATTATGAAATCTCACCAAAGGCTGCTTTTCCGACCCAAATATTTGCACCACTTTTTGTAATTTCTGAAAAGTTTCTTCATCACTATGGTTAAGGCGCGATCATCCAGCTAGAGAAAATATTGTACAAAATCACTTAGCGCAAGTACAAAAGCCTAGACAGAGAGTAAAAGAAAAAAAAAAGGCAATATAGTCCAACAAAATGCATACCTTTGGTTCTTGTTCAGGTCTTGGAAATTGTCGGATGTGGACATTAGCAAGTAACAAGATCAAGTGCTCTCTTTGATTCGAAACATTATCTTCCTGCAATTTAAATGTTTGAATAACAATCAGTAAAGACAAAACTTTAAGACAAATAATTGAAACAGGATATTCGCTAACATCACCTGAAAACCAAACATCGACTGAAGCCAGTCTAGAATGTCTTCGTCGAGTTTCTTCTTGTGACCTGCTGTCCATGGTAAGCCCCTTGTATTTCTCAGAGCGGCTACAGCAGCTTGTATCTGCAGAACAGTATTCAAACAGATCGATTGGTCTGAAAGACAAGAAAACAGATAAACAGAAAGGTAAGACTAAGTAGCTGGATAACCTCAGGCAATCTCATTATAGCCTGATTCTGACTATCAGGGTCGAGGGGAAGTATATTGTAAGGCTTGTAAATCTGGGTTTTCTCTTCCACCTTATTGTGCTGTTGCAAAATCTACAGGTAGTAAAAAAAAAAAAAAGAATGATCAGAAACCATATCACAACAGTATCAACATGTTTTGCCAGAGCATTCGTAAAGACTGGCACAAGAACGGAAGTAGAAGATCAAAACTACATTGCAGAATATCTACTATCAGCTTCACCTGTATAGGCACTGGCAAATCTTCTGTCTGATTAACAGCCTTCAAGACTTCAAAGAGAACGGCAGCAGTTTGATAGGCCTTTGTAAGTTGAGCACTAAAGGTAAAAATATGAATGGAAACACACAGTAAGAGGTAACGTTGTAAGGGAAAAACCGCAAAATTTGAAGAATTTTTAACACAAACCGGTCAGCTTTATCAGCAGCATTTAGCAAAGCTTGGATGTATTTCTTGTAGTAGTGTTGATAGAAACTCTGCATTTCACGCGCATCACTCTTTTGCCTTCCTGCCAAAGTTGTTTCATTCTCCTGGAGAAGTTAATCAAAAACATAAAACGGCACATGAGTTTTAACATCTAACACAACATGCTAGTGAATCAAATGTTGACATTCATCTACCCTTTCTAATCGTTGAAGAAGAGCGGTCTTAAACTGGCGAACACCACGTCCACTTGATGTTGGATCAAGCCTATGAGCCTTCTCAAACGCGTAAAAACGACCTGGTAAGCATCAAAATCCACAATTTTATTATCCAAGAACATTAAGATGAGCAATGAACAAATTATCAATCACAACCAATCCAACTCACAAAGGTAAGCAACTCGTGGGTTACTAGCTTCAACTTCATTAGCCACACGAAGAATTGGAGCAATCTCCACCAAAGAAGATGGCACCACTTCACTATCGAGCATAGCCTCTCCGAGACTACCGACAGTCTGAGTCCGCAGAATCCGCCTCTGCGGCGGAGGCGGATTGGTTTCCCTTCTTTGAGACATCTTCTAAATCTTCCCACTATCAAATCTGAGCTACCATGTACTTGTCAAAACCCCTTGAGAGACAGTGAAATGAAAAAACCCAAACATGAGCAATAGGAAGAGAGAAGACAAAGGAGTAGGAATCCAAATAAATATCCTAAATAGTAAGTTTTTACTTTAGTTGAGAAACGAATCTCCGATTCATCTTCACAAAAGCTTTTATCAATATACACGCGTAAATAACGCAAAAAGCTGTTTTCTTTTGAAAAGAAAACAAAAAAAGATCCAACTGAGCCCCAGAAAAAAAAATCAAAAAAGCTGCAGACGATGTAAAGCGCAAATCTTATCACGATATTCAACTACCCAATTCTACAGTCCATAGTCAAACCCAAGATACATCTGATTCTAGAAACAAAAAAGGTTTCAGCTTTTCGAAGCTTGAAACAGTCTCCGATGGTAAACCCGTTTATGAAAGCATCTGGCCTCACTCGAAAGTCATGTAAAAAAACAGTGAGGTGGCAAAATTTTACACTCTAGGGATCGGATAAATGAAACGCACAATCAGACAAAGAAATCCAGTTTCAAAGTTGAAAATGAAACCCAGAATCTGCCAAAATCGAAAACAGTGAAAAGACCCAGAATAATTTAAGGATCACCTATTCACCTGACGAGAGACAGGGGAAAAGAGAAGAAACAGAGGAGCTATCAGATGCGATCGAGGAACAGTAGTCAAAGCTAAAATCTTTCTTCGTCGCTGAAACTGGTCTCCGGCGACGACAGTCGAAGAGAGAGAGAAAACACCGGAGAGGAAAGCAACGGCTACAAGGCAGGCGCGAAGTTTCTGTAGGTAGACCCCTCCTTTTTTTTTGGAGCCTTTCATTTTAACCAATAATACATCTCCACGTCATCATTTACGTATTATATACTATATTATATCTCTTCTTTTTTCTCTACATCATACCATGACGTTATATAATAAGATATTATTGGAAAGCTGCTGGGTCGTTTTCCTATATTTATAGTACTTATGGTTATGTGTAATAAGTAAAATTATTACTCCCTTGATAAAATACCAAAAAATAAATAAAACTCAGAACTTGATTTAGCTGAATCATGATTATTATCGTACATATTTCAAGTATTATTGATAGGATCATCAATTTTGAGCGGGTATACTTGTTGGTCAAACAGAGATTTAATCTCTACATTTAAAGTAATAAATTGAAATGCCTTTCTCGCACCAAGACAAAAATTTATCATAGCAACTTTTAATAAGCATTTATTCTCTTTTATTCTATTAGCTAGTGTCTCATCCAATTAGTCATAAATTAATAGACTCAATACCAGTGATGTGAGATACTCCTCTCGCTATGCACACATTTTCTTCCTTTTGTTACTTAAATATAATTAAAGAATAAATGCACACCTTCCCAATAGATCATTGCACTTCGAGGAAAGAACAAAAAAAGAAGATAATCCCAGTTAATAGTCTAGTATGCTTTTCTTTATGCAGAAAATTAAAAATACAAATCTGTAAATAAAATTATCTTCATATGTTCCAAAAGATATGCATGAATATTTTTGGTGACGAAGCTCAACTGACGCTGACGTTTTGTTTCTCTTGTTTTTTGTTTTTTTTTTTTTTCCATCCCACTATTACATCACTATTGACTCGTTTAGGAAACGGTCTAGAAGACTCCCCGCAACTGGCTCGTTATAAATGATTTGGGAGAATATAATGCCTTTAGCTCGAGCTCCTTTCGCCAGACTATCCGCTCGGACATTTGAACTCCTGGGAATATGAGAAATAGTGAAATCCAGAAAGCTCTCACGTAAAGACCGGAAGATTTTCAATTCTGAGAGGAAAGAAGACCAATCAGATGACGATTCTGCCATGTTAACCAGATCCAAGCAGTCGGTCTGAAAGTGAACTGATAGGATCTGTTTGTTTCTCACGCAAGACATTGCCCATAAGAGGTTCTCCAATTCGGCGTGTAATGCCGAGATGCTTCTACGACAGCCTTGGAGTCCATAAATCTCCCCGCTCCTCTCCTTCTTCAGACTCCATCCGAGCCCACTAACCAGCCCATTCGCTATCCAAGAGGCATCAACCTGGCAGATCGGGAACCTCAGGGTATCAGGTGGCGATATCGGAAGTAGGGAATTAGGGTTTGTCTCGTCAAATGCGTCCTCCTCTGCTTCCGACTTGTTTGCATTCCGCCAGCTTTCTGCTTCAATCTTTGCATGGACTAAGGTGTCTAACGGGGAGATTTCTATCCCGTTAAAAATCTTGTCATTTCTTGCTTTCCAGATATACCATAGGATCCAAAGATAAATATCCTTTTGTGGATCTGTCATGCCTAACTCTTTTGTTTTTCAAAAGAGGAAGCTCATATTTTGGAAAATAGAGGTACTCGGGAAGAGGCCCGGAAAAGACGGAAAGTCCGATAACGCCCAGACTTGTAAAGTCGGGGGACATAAAAATAGGAGGTGGTTAATAGATTCTTCAGGGTTTCCACAGCGGGGACAACATCCATCTGTAGCCATATGTCTGCGGGTCAGGTTATGACAAGTGGCAATGCATCCTGAGAGGGCTTGCCACATGAAGTGCTTCATTTTTCCGGGAGTTTGTACTTTCCAAGCTTGACTTTGAAGGGCTCTGATGCTCGGTTCACCCACGACCTCAGGATTTTGTGCCAGTTTTGTTCTTCTAATCAAATCATAGCCCGATTTGACCGAATAGATTCCTGATTTGGTGTGATTCTATGAGTATCCGTCTAGAGTACGGTTCCTAGTAGGTCTCAACCCGAGAATAATAGAGACATCCTCAGGTTGGAAGCAGGCTCTTAGGAACGGCTCATTCCATAATTTCGTGTCTTGATTGATCAGGTGGTATACCAGCATACCCGGATCTTAGAAGCCAATTAAAGGGCCTGCTCTTAGAGGTCGGGCTCTAACATCAGGGATCAAAGCTCACTCCAAACTCTGGTGTTTAGTCCCGATCCGATCGTCTTCTGAGTCCTAATTTAAGATACGGTTTGGTGTTTCTCTTGTTTAACAAGGTCTCTCAACTCTCACGTCATTTATCTGTTCCTCACACAGTCACACTCTAACAAAAATATTAATTAATTTAGTTTCCATGTTAATATAGACACAAAACGTCATCCCATATAAAACTTTTATTTTTGTTTATTTATTTATTTTTGTTTAGAGAAACAACATTGTACTCAAACATAGACTTTGCAACGTTTAATTGATGGAAAAAAGTGATGTTACATCATTTGGGCAAAATTTGTATGTTATGTAAAATTCATTAAAGGAACCAATTAATTTAGTTAAAAAGGTGAAATGTTAACTAAATTGTTTTCCACAAAAGTTAAAAAATAACTTAATCAAATATTTTGTTTTTCATTAAAAGAATTCCGTTGGCCAAATATAACATATTTTCACTTAAGAATCAATGATTTAACAAACACAAATTTTCGATTTTCTTAAGACTGTTTCGCTCACATAGTTTCGAAACCAAAAAGTTATGTTTACTGAACTAAATAGTTCCTCTATTTTAGTTTTTTTAAATAGGAACTATAATGAACAGAGAGTGAATTAAATAGATAATATAAGCTTCTAACTTATCTAATTGGGGACGAATGATTTCAAGATTAAAGTTGTTAAGTAATAACCTTAATTAATTACTAATATTCGCAATCGACTATACCCTCTTGATCGCTTGTCTAGTATACTTCCTACTTCAATGAATTTCTAAGACAAATGTTCAAACCGTGATCAATTAGTTACTAAAACTTTCAGTTAGGTTATTTCAAATACCACTTTCTGACGAAAAAACCAAGCTCATGATATTCAAACATTCTCTGCGCTTCATCAAACAGAAATTCACTAAACTAGCCAAAAAAAAAAAAATCCTTGGCAATTTCACAGCTAGAGAACCAACTATAAGCATCGATTATCACTCTTTAAGAGTAGTCCTCACTACACAATGATGTCCCAATGGAATGTTTCTGCACCGTTGCTGCCTTGGTTTAACGGTATTATTCCACTTCATCGAATCATTCTTCGCCGATGAATTCTTTGTCCCTCGACACAACTTCATGTGTGAATGCATCTTCTCGGGCTTGAATGACTTCCCACATTGCCTATATTATAAATGATATTATTCATTTTAATCATACCAATTGTCACAACATCACTTAGAGATGAAAAGAGTGAGGCTTACGAGCATAATGGAGCCATAGTAGGCTTGCTTGAAGCCACCTTTGGTTTACAGAATTCAATTGTCTCCTTCATCTTTATGCCACTCCACGCCCCTTCAAAGCTTTTTCTATAACCAAAAACACGTTGCCAATTTCTTTCATATATTAATATGATATAAAGATGAGATTAGGCCTAGATTATGTTAATTTAGCTTGAGAGCGCCAATGAAATGAGAAACAGTCAGCAAAAAAAGTAATTACTTTTAGTTAATATATAATACACCAAAGATTAGTCCCAATCATGTGTGGCATTAACAGCTAAAAAGTAACGAATTTTTATGAATTAAACAATAAATTAATTAGGAGCGTACCGAGCATTGTGCTGTTGGTGGTATTGGTATCTGCGTTCGTCTTCCCAAGCTGCACCAAAAGCCCCAGACGCAGACTTATTCAAAGGCACCAAAACGGCATCGTTTGTGTCCAAGCCACCACACTTCATCAAGTTCCTTAAAACGTGCGAGGCACGCGCGCTCGAGTAGTTCTTACTATTTATAAAACCCGAAGACGACGTCGTCGACGACACACTCTGTCGACCCGGCTCTGTATCGTTACCCGACCCGTTTCCCGTCGACCCGTTTCTTTCGCCGGATACTTTTTTCCCATCTGGTTTCTTGAGACCGATCGTTTCTTCTTCGTTGGTGGTGGATTCCTCGGTGACTGTCGAAGTTGTCGCCGTCGATCTCTGAGAGCAGAAGACCGGAGATTCTTTGCGGATCATCTCCGACGTTAATTTCGACTTCTGTAGTTTTTCTTTAGCGTATATTCCGCCGTCACCACCGTTTCTTGTCTCCCAAGCTTTCTCTTCCGCATGAGGAGTATCCTCTGTTTTTAAAAACCCTAATTAAGAACCTCATTCTATGGAATATTAGTAATAATTACATGACATACCCTTTGGGGAGCTTAGAAGAATCTCAGATCCTTTGAGGACATATTCGTTATCGGAGAGGGGTGTAATAAGATCATCATCCAATAAATCTTGCCATACATATCCATTCTTATATCTCCTGTAATATCCCAATATCCACCATATTCAAACCATATTGATACATACGCATATAAATCGATAATTACGAGAAATCAATATTTATGCTTGATTTTTTTACCTCTTACACGACCAACAATATGCGTCTGGCATCGCATCGCCTCGTATATCCCCTAACCATCGCTTCACATCTGCGTTTTATACACAATTTTGTGAGAGATTGATCGGAATAATTAAAAGAGAGTATTAAGAGAAGAAGAATTAATATTAAGAAGTGAGAATTAACCTCGAAGAAAGACACCATTACGGGAGAGATGATGAACACTCAAGAGATGAGGCTGGTCAACGTGACCCGAACGGCTAAGGAAATAAATTAATTTCACTCTTCTTACTTCTCCTCCTCCACCATTACTTTCCATCTCTCTCTTTTTCTCTCTTATTCTTCTTCTTTTTTTACCTTCGATTTTATTCTCTGTATGTCTTTTACAAAAGAACTTCTATAAGCCAAAGCTTCTTAGATTTTAAACAATATGAAAAGCTCTTAAAGAGTTTCACTTCTCTCCTTTTCAGACACGAAAGAGACAAATTAAAGATCATACTAATTAACACAAGGGCTTCTTTTGTTAACTTATAGACCCTTTTAAATTGATGTTTAGAGACCAAAGTTTAGTTTATTCCCTAAAACAAAAAATGAATTTTGAATGTCTATTAAAATATTTACGTAAAAAACAAAAAAAAGGAAACCAATGAGACATGTTTGTGGAGACAAAACCAAACATATGCATAGATAGAGATGAAAAAGTCTTTGCGGATTAACAGAAACTGCATATTTCTCGTACGACTCCAAAGAACAAACATAGGGTTTCGAGATCACTCACCTTTGTTTACTTTTTTTTTATATTAAAAAATATTATTTGGAAGTTTCTTTCTCTTTCTTAAGCCTTTCAATGTTACGTTAAGGCATACAATTCTGGAAAAAAAATACTGAAAATATCATAAAGGTTTAGTAAGACGAGATCTTGCAGGAGAGATTTATGGATTATGGTTATATTGGTCTCAAGCCTATGTAAAACTAAAAAAAGAAAGAAGAGAAAGTCTTCTCAGCATATTTATCGTGGTTTACCATAGCAACACCAATGAGAAAAATAAATACCTATACACAGAATATTATTTATGGTATATGAGACTTTTAATATATCCATATTTACTTCTTACCATTAAGACAAATCAGAAGACCAAAAAGCATAAACAAATCCCCAATTTGTTTTCTCTATATCTGAAGTCTATTAAGAAATGTTGAATTCTTAGGGATGCGTGAATCCACGGAAATGGAGAAAATATATTTTTTTTGTTTTAGAAAGAAAACAAAAAAGGAAGCTTTGGATATTTTTGAATTTTCCCTTAACATAGAGATATAATATACATTGCCTTTTAAAAATCTTTGACCAGGACTAGCATTTATGTAAATTTTGTTGCCTTCTAAGAATTGATACTTCTTTGGTATTCTGTTTAGTTTGAGACTTTGAATTGAGCTAATCCTTCAATATGTATTTGTCATGATTATTTACTATAGTTATTAACATGAGGGAAAGTGAAAATCCAATGTACATAATTCTAAAAATTATTCATAGAGAGAAACCTTTTTCCCGTAAGACTAGTTTTTGCATATAATTTATAAACGCAATAGATTTTTGTTTTGTTTGGTTTATATTTGTGTTGTTGCAATATCTACCATGTGCTCATCGTTGAATGGAAAAAATAGGTTTTGGGAACATTAAAATGAATCGTTTCACAATGAGAAAATTGGAAATTCTCCAAACTGAATACAATTACATTTTTCAAGATCATTCACATTCTCTTGGCTAATAAATTCAAAAGAAAAAAAAAACATAGATTCAAGGAGCATAAATGCATAAAACTCTCATTACCTGTGGATTCCATATTTGTGTTCCTCTTCTTCATCATCCCCATCGTCTTCGTACATAGACTTCATAAATGGCTCATCATCATGAGTCGTCTTAGCCCCATCTACTATGGATTCTTGATTGTTACCGACGGCTCCAGCGACCGATCCAACAGTGGTGGCTGCTGCTGCGGCTGCGGCTTGTCTATTGACGGCAGAGTATTGTTGAATGACTAAAACCGAAGCATGCATTGTGAAATTCGACGAAGCTAATGTGTCCCCTATTGTGCCTAGCTCAGGACTACTGCTCCAATCGTTTAAACCGGCGGTCACCGGAGAATCTGAGTTATATCCTCTTCCAACAACGTAAAGATCATACGAGTTATTGTCTTCCATTTCTCTGATCGTAGAGATCGTGTCTTGACCATCATTGACCACTTTTTCAATATATCTCACTGAAGAATCGTTCATCGTCTTGAAATTGAATTCATAAATGCACTCGTCGTCGACTTGTTTCTCCCTCTCATACTCTGCCGCGACTTTCCCGGCCGAGATCAGCGCTTCACGTCCCGGGACGAATCTTACCACAGTAAGTTTAATGACGTGTTGTCCGACCATCCTCCACGCGTATGATAAAGCCTCACGGTCGTCTGGACCGCCCACGAAGAGCATTGCGACTTCTCTCTTCATTGGCTCGCCACGGAACGACTCAGACCGGACCATAGCCATACCACGGTCAACTAAAATCCCGACCGAGCAAGGCGCGTGGCTCAAAACGTTTTGGTTAATGTCGGCGTGAGACGAGTTTCCTTCTCCCATCCGACCGTCAGGTGTCAAGTGTTTGTGGTAAGGCAATATGATGAAACAAACTCGCTTGTCCTCGGCCAACGCGCAAATGTCTTCGTGCATCGTCGTGTAAGGAGAAACCGCGGTGATGGTTTGAACAGTCATAGCGTCGTTGTTCACTTCCATGGCTTCGAAAGTTTCAGCGATTTGGTCGGACTCTGCTCTGACTCTGTCCGAGAAGTTTGCTTTCGGTTTGCACTCGTCGTTCATGATTAGCAGCGAGGCCGTGGTTCGACCAGTGAGCTCCACGAGGTGAATGGCGAATACGTTGAGAGGTGATTGTTTGGTCGGGTTCGAGACTTGTAAGAGATTGGTGATCCCAGAGACGTTGGGGAGAATATGGACGCAAGCTAAGACGCGAAACTCTGTTTCTCCTTTGATCTTTTGGACCGTACGGTGCTTGTAGTGAACCAGTTTCTTCTTGGGCTTATATGCGACTGCGAGAAGTGGCTCGACCACTAGTGACATCACTAGAAGCGCGATCGTCATATGAGTGTACATTGGACTATCCAGCGCCTGCAAATGGAAAAAAACAAAAATGGACTATGAACAAATTTTAAGAATAAAATATTTTCTACTATAAAAAGCTGATTAAGTGATTAATTACCTTGGTATCACGACCGGCGTTAAGGACGACAAGTGATAAAGTTCCCTTGGTATTCATCAGAGCTCCGATAGCGAGAGCATCACGAGTAGGCATTTTCATGAATAAAGAAACGATCACAGTGGTAACGATTTTTACTAAGAAGGAAGAGCAAATGACTAAAGTCATCATGAACTTGTCAGTGAATTTGAGCATGTAACCAATATCAGCTCGTAACCCACAAATGATGTAGAAGAGAGGCATGAGGATTCCAGAGAGGAAGTCATGGAGCTTCTCCTCGATCATGTTACGTATGATGTGGTCGTGAGGGATGGATAGACCAAACAGGAATGCCCCGGTTATGGAGTGGACCCCACATGCGTCTGTGATCAGGCCACATAGAACCACACCTCCTAAAATGAACCAAACGTGGGTGTCCCCGACTTGACCTGCCTTCACGGTTTTGGCGAAAATCCATGTAATTCCCGGACGGATCACATAGATGCAAAGGAGGACGAACATGAATGTGGTGAGTATCACCCACGGCATCATTTTGTTCCATGTCCCTGTTTTAACAAAATTAACAATCATAATCTTTGTATTACTATGCATTTTTTTCGTTTCTTAATTAGAACAATTTGTAGGATTGATTCTATTTTCGGCCAGTGGAGAATATTTAATGGTTGTAGGTTTATGGGAATTATTTATTTAGATTTCTGCATGCGGTCCTAATTTTTTCTACTAATTGTGGAAAAAAAAAACTTTACCTGCTTTGGAAAAAGAAGCGAACCCGAAAATGAGGAGGACCCAAGTGCACAAATCAGTAACAATGGCTGCACACATGGCCGTACGGCCCATGTCAGACCGCAAGAGTTTGAGATCTGCAAGGATCCTAGCAAGGTCAGGGAAGTTGGTACAGGCTAGCGCGATGGACCAGAAGACACAACCGGAGATGATCTTGTCTGGGTGGCCATTTCCGGGAAGGTAGTAGAGGAAGACACCAGCCGGTAAGGCAACAAGAAGTCCCGCAGAGGCAATGATGACAGGTTTGAGCTCGGTAATCCGCACCATCCTAAGGTCCATACCTAGACCAAGGAGGAAGATGTTGTAGACAAGAGCTAAGTTTGCGAATGTTTCAAGAACCATTGTGAATCTGTAGGGGAATACATGTTGGATTATGAACTCTGTGTTCCCAAGCACACTTGGGCTAAACAATAACCCACACTGCAAAACACACAATGTAATATTAAAATATGTCATTGTTAGAATATTGATAAAACACCAAAAAAACTATACATGTAGCAACAAATTATGCATGCATACGCACGAGGATCTGAGCTACAAAAGGAGGAAGATAAAGGGGTCGGGTTAAATAGTAGATGACACGGTAGCTAAGATTCGCGACAAAGAGTTGTGTTATGAAAAACGGAAGGGAAGATGCGAGCGTGCTTCCACTCTCCCATCCCTTTTGTTCTCTCTTCTCGTAGAGAAGCGATTGATCATAACACACGATTTTTCCATAACGCGATTCGTCAATTTGATAGACAGGGTTCGTCGTATTATCAGGGAGACCTGCCATTTCCTCCTACGATGGCTGGTCTGAATCCCCAAAAAAAAACGACAAGACCGTCTTGTCTGAACCCAACGTTTTGTCTAAACCCAACGTTGGGTTCAATATAAACGTATTAACTGTGTTAACAACTTTTCTTACGTTTTATTCCAAACATGATGGCTAATTATAGGTGATGTATTAGTTGTTATTGGGGAGATAATTAACCACTCATTCTAAAATGGATTATTCTTTGAAAATGGACTTATCAGATTTATGTTTTTTTGTTTCCGTTACTGCTTTTTTAAACGGCTGGTTGAAAATGAACACTTGATTCAACACATTTTTGTCCGAGTTCTAATTGTGTAACATACTCTTTTTTTTTGAGAAGAATTTTGATTGTGTAACATACTTACAGTTCCAGCTGGTTTGGTCTTATTTGGCAACGACTAACGAATCATCCTAATTTAGTTTAATATTTTGGGCAGGCCCGGTTCATTAATATTTTGAGGAGGCCCGACTCATTTATCAGTGTACAAACAAACTTTTTAATATAAAAAATATCCAACATAAAAATAGCTACAAAATGTTTAAAGTAAAACAAAAAAACAAAAAAGACTGCAGAAATCATGAAGTCAATTTTCCCGGAAGCTTCTGTCTGACTTCTGTGAAGAGTGAAGACCATAGTGTTCGTCGTCGTTCGCCTCCACTGAAAATTTTAATAGTAACTAAATTAAATCCTCTGTTACATGTTCTGGCTTCTTCCTTTTACTTCTTATTCTACTTTTCGCTTTTCTGCAATGGAAATTTGAAGTAATAATCAAAGACCGGCTGACGAATCCCCTTTATGATCTAGGTCATGCTTCAGAATGCTTTTGAGTCATTAAATTTCAACACTTTTAGCACCTACATCTTCTTCTTTCCCCAAATTATTTTAGTCTGCCCTATTCGACTTATCTCTTCGGTTGTTTTCTTAGTGTAACACTTACCCATTTACATGTCTTTGTTCTTGATGCTATTGAGTCATTAAATTCGTTTTTTTTGCAGATTTTGGATAGCAATGATAGTTGAAACTTGAAACGCTTTTTGGTTAAGGTCCATTAGCAGTAGATTGATCCAAAAACACAGCATTTTTGTCTTATACAGAACGAAATTATGCTCATTCTTTCCAGGTTTCATGTGATACTAATCACATTCCTCTTCTTCATTTCGCTTCTTTCGCCATTGCTTTCCACTGCCATACCTATCAACATTTGGCCAAAGCCGAGATTTCTCTCGTGGCATCAACAAAAAGCCATTGCCCTCTCTCCAGATTTCACCATCATTTCCCCTGAACACCAATACCTTTCCGCCTCTGTGACACGCTATCTCCACCTGATCCGCTCAGAGAGCTACTCACCTCTCATTACAGGTCCTGTCAAACTTACGAAAGGTTACACCTTGAGCAACCTTGTAGTCAATGTTACCGATCTTTCTCTTCCTCTTCACCATGGCGTTGACGAATCCTATACACTCTGCATCCCCGTTGGCAGCTTTTCTGCCCACTTGTCCGCTCAATCGGTTTGGGGAGCTATGCATGGCCTTGAGACATTCTCTCAGATTATTTGGGGAACATCTCCTGATTTGTGTTCACCAGTTGGGATTTATATTCGTGATTCTCCGTTGTTTGGCCATAGAGGCGTTTTGCTCGATACATCGAGGAATTACTATGGAGTAGATGACATAATGAGGACAATCAGGGCCATGAGTGCAAACAAACTCAATGTGTTCCACTGGCACATCACTGATTCGCAATCTTTTCCATTGGTACTTCCTTCTGAACCTTCACTCGCTGCAAAGGGATCTTATGGACCAAACATGGTATACACTCCCGAGGATGTCTCAAAGATTGTTCAGTTCGGTTTCGAGCACGGCGTTAGAGTTCTTCCTGAAATTGACACTCCTGGTGAGTCAGTTAATGCTTGATTCGCTTTTGTACAAGAACTTTGCTTGGTTCTAATGGTAACTTCACAGGCCATACAGGATCATGGGGAGAAGCTTACCCGGAGATCGTCACATGTGGCAACATGTTCTGGTGGCCTGCTGGAAAAAGTTGGGACGAGCGGTTAGCTAGTGAACCTGGCACTGGTCAGCTTAACCCACTGAGTCCAAAGACATATGAAGTTGTTAAAAACGTCATACAAGATGTTGCTAAGCAATTCCCTGAACCTTTCTACCATGGCGGTGGAGATGAAGTTATCCCAGGCTGCTGGAAAACAGATCCTGCAATCAATTCCTTCCTGTCTTCTGGTGGAACACTAAGCCAGCTTCTTGAAAAGTACATAAACTCAACATTACCTTACATCCTGTCGCAGAACCGAACAGCTGTCTACTGGGAAGATGTTTTGCTGGGTGCACAAATCAAGGTGGATCCATCTTTTCTTCCTAAAGAGCACACAATCTTACAGACTTGGAATAACGGTCCTGAAAACACAAAGAGAATCGTAGCTGCTGGTTACAGAGTAATTGTATCGTCATCTGAGTTCTATTACTTAGACTGTGGTCACGGCGGGTTTCTAGGGAATGATAGTCAGTATGATCAGCGAGGAGGTGGTGCCAGTGGCGGGTCCTGGTGTGCACCGTTTAAAACATGGCAGACCATATACAACTATGATATAACTGATGGTTTGCTCGATGAGGAAGAGAGGCAGCTGGTCCTAGGAGGAGAGGTAGCGTTGTGGTCAGAGCAAGCTGACCCGACGGTTTTAGACTCACGCCTTTGGCCGCGTGCTTCTGCGTTTGCAGAGAGCTTGTGGTCTGGGAATAGAGACGAGAGAGGTGTTAAGAGATGTGGTGAAGCTGTGGACCGGTTAAACCGGTGGAGGTATAGAATGGTGAAGAGAGGTATTGGAGCTGAACCTATTCAGCCATTGTGGTGTTTGAGGAATCCTGGGATGTGTAATGCAGTTAATGTTGCTCTAGAAGATCAGTAAAACAATAAAAAGGGTTCGAAACTGGATCCAACTTACAGAAAGCAGAAAAAAACATAATCTTGATCAGGGTCTTTTGATCAATGTTTAGTTCTTGTTTGTCCTAACAAAACTTGAATGTTTCGAAGCCAAAACTTTCAATCATATGTAATATGTAATTGTACCATGTTCCAATAAGTAAAGATGATATGTTCGAATCTTCTATAAGAAATTCATTCAAATAGCAAAAGAAAACAAAAATTGAATCTTAACTTGTGGAAAAATCAGATTTTGAGCCTGCAAATTTTCTACTCTATCCTCTGCCTTGAAACCGAGATCTTTGTTCAAACCATGGCGAAGATTATCACCGTCAAGTATATATGATAGCTTTCCCAGGGTGTACAGCTCTCTACTAAGTGAGCAAGGCAACGTGCTTTTCCCTGCATAAGTTTCAGGCAAGGAGTTCAAAATTTAGACAGAGGCTTATGTAGATTTAGACATCAACAGATCATCTTAGGAAATCATCACCAATTGGAAAGATTTCCCAGTAAAGCAAAATATTTTTTCAGACAATCTACCTTTGACTTATCAGAATCCAATGGAACAGAATAATATAGAGATTATGTTTCAATTCTACACTAGATATATTCGAGCTTGCATCACAATCGAGACGCAGTCATCCTCTGTTTAATCGAAATCTTAAGAGCCCGATTATTTCATCATTTTAAAAAATATATATATAAATGGAAAAAGTAAAAACCAAAACGGCAACAGATAACAAGCAAAACGCAAACATTAAAAAACAATGGTAATAAGTGGAGCTAGCAACATGTCTACTATTTGCTCAAAATAAACACCAAAACGACAATCTCATATAACGCAAAACGCAGTCTACTCGCTCACTTTTAAATTTTGGCCAAAATAGAGCAAAATTGATGGACTATATAACCCACGAATTAGGCCTAACGCGCGCAACGCGCACCTGCTGCGAGTGGGTTGTTTCTTTCATTCGCGCGTGGCGTCATGCTCTCACTTTTCATGCGAGTGGGTTTTTGTATGAAAAGGTTAAAAGTTATGGGGTTAAAGTGGAAACCTTCGTTATTTACCGGCAACGACCAAAATCTCATTAACTTCGCTTTCCAAGTCCTTTTGTCCTCACGAGACTGAGCTTCACGAGATCCCTAAATACTCAAATAATAAACATGGTCAAATTAACGACGAAGCCCATACTTAAATCTCCAGGTAACAACAATTTCACTCTGTCTGTCCATTACTAATATCTCAAGTCTTGACTTTTATATATTATCTGTTGTTCTTTGATCTTTCCATGGCTGCTCGTCTTTCCTCTCCACTTAAATTTCTTCGTTATTTTCTATGAATGATTCATTGGGTAGAAGGAGATTCTTTTTATTTATTTTGGTTGTAATTTGAATTGATTGATCCCGGAGTTTGATATGTTGGGTTTTCTGAAAATTTCTCTTACTGTTCAGTCGTGTTCTGTCTATGAGTTTTTAGAATCAGATGGAAATACTGATTGTCCCCGAGAGAAAAAGTAAAACCTTTTGCAAAAAAATGACATATTTGAGCTGACGAGATGAGGTGTATGTGCAGGAAACCTGATTTCTTGATGTTGTGGTGTGGAGTTTCAAGAGTTTGAGGTTCTTGAAGAGATTTCTGATTGAAGGATTATATGATGAGTGTTAGATGGCCAAGAGTGTTAACGCCAAGCCTTCTTTCTCAGATCCTAAAGAAGCAAAAGAACCCATTAACAGCACTTCAACTTTTCGATGAGGCAAAAGAGAGGTTTCCGAGTTACGGTCACAATGGCTCCGTGTATGCCACCATGATTGGCATCCTTGGTAAATCAAATCGTGTCTTGGAAATGAAATATGTCATAGAGAGGATGAAGGAAGATTCTTGTGAATGTAAAGATCCGGTTTTTGCTTCGGCTATCCGTACATTTTCCAGAGCTGGAAGGCTGGACGATGCCATCTCCCTCTTTAAGAGCCTTCATGAGTTCAACTGTGTGAATTGGACTCTATCGTTCGATACTCTCTTACAGGAGATGGTTAAAGAATCGGAGCTCGAAGCTGCTTGTCACATATTCCGAAAGTATTGTCATGGGTGGGAGGTGAATTCTCGAATAAAGGCTCTGAATTTGCTTATGAAGGTACTTTGCCAGGTCAATCGCTCTGATCTGGCTTCTCATGTCTTTCAAGAGATGAACTACCAGGGTTGTTATCCAGACAGAGACAGCTACAGGATTTTGATGAAAGGGTTTTGTCTAGAAGGGAAACTTCATGAAGCCACGCATCTGTTGTATTCAATGTTCTGGAGGATCTCGCAGAAAGGTGCAGGTGAGGACATTGTGGTTTATAGAATTCTATTGGATGCGTTATGTGATGCTGGAGAGGTTGATGAGGCTATTGAAATTCTTGGGAAGATCTTGAGAAAAGGACTAAAGGCTCCGAAACGATGTTACCATCATATTGAAGCTGGTCATTGGCAAGGTACCAGTGAAGGTAGAGAACGGGTGAAACGATTGTTAACTGAAACTTTGATCCGAGGCGCAATTCCCAGTTTGGATAGCTACAGTGCCATGGCTACTGATCTTTTCGAGGAAGGTAAGCTTGTTGAAGGTGAAGAAGTGCTTCTTGCAATGCGAAGAAAAGGCTTTGAGCCAACACCATTGATGTATGGTGCCAAGGTTAAAGCACTGTGTAAAGCCGGGAAGCTGGAAGAAGCGGTTTCTGTAATCAATAAGGAGATGATGGAAGGTCATTGCCTTCCAACAGTTGCAGTGTATAACGTTCTTATAAAAGGCCTATGCGACGAAGGGAAGTCCATGGAGGGTGTTGGATATCTTAAAAAGATGTCTAAGCAAGTCTCTTGTGTAGCTAACGAAGAGACATATCAAACTCTAGTGGATGGTTTGTGTCGCGATGGTGAATTTGTTGAAGCTAGCCAGGTCATGGAGGAGATGTTGATAAAATCATACTTTCCTGGTGTTGATACTTACAGTGTGATGATAAAAGGTCTTTGTGCTATGGACCGTCGATATGAAGCTGTGATGTGGTTGGAAGAAATGGTTAGTCAGGATATGATGCCAGAGTCTTCTGTGTGGACCGCTTTGGCTTCATCAGTTTGTTATGGTGCCTTTGATGTTGTTGAGATACTTCAGCATCTAACTAGTAGCAATCGGTGACCGTATAGCTAACTGTCTGGACTTTAGTAAGTTTGATGAGGCTATATTTTGTGAGAGCAACAAATTTGTAACTGTTGAATTAACAGGGTTCGTTGACGTTTCTATATAAATTTCATTTTTTTACATTGGAATGATGAATTTTGCAAGTTAAAAAAAGAAGAGTTCAGATGGTGGAGTCGTTTGGGATCACTGCGTTTCGAAGTATGACGATAATTCCTTCTCTTATAACGTATCCTTCTGCTTCTCTGTTTCCTTCTTCAACATTGTCTCTGTTGATAATCTGTGAATCGTCTAGAAATTAAACTATGGAAATTTGATTTTTGATTTTGTTTTTTTTTTGCTATATTCAAATCATATCCAAAGGAGAGATTAAAATAAATATTCACCATAACGTTTTGACCAATCCTGGCATTCTTATCAACAATCGCTCTTCTTATTCGAGTCTTTGCACCGATCCCTATTCGAATCTCTGTCTTCTTCTCCCTCCCTTTTCTTCTCACATCTTCTTCCATCTGTAAACACCACTCGTCACAAAAGAAAAAAAGATTGTAAATTTGTAACATTAGCCTAAGTCCCTAAATTTGTAAATCTGTTTTGCGATCCAAGAAACCTGGTTTACCTCATAGATATCAGAACCAACGATGATCGAATCTTCTATAATCACTTCATCTGAGATTCTCGTTCTCATTCCCACTACCGAGCCTCTGATCACACATCTCTGCCCCCATTACATACAAAAGAAAGAAGACGAAACTTTTATATTGAGCTTTAGATCAACAATGGCTACTACGGTTACAAGAGAGTTTGGCAAATGTACGTCGAGAATGCAACCGTCTCCGATTATACTATCGTTTATGACAGCCTCACTCATGGAGCTTGGAGGCAAACACCGAGGCATTGTGTACAGAGGACATTGTCTGTCGTAGAATCTGCAACTACAAAAAGAAGAGACGTTGACTTGAATCACAAGGTTCCTATTTAGAGTCATCAGGTCTCACAAGGGTTTTACATTACTTGAATCCCCCCACCACCAATATACACCTCTTAATACTCTCCATGTTAGCTCTATAGTAAGCTCCGACGCTCTTCACATCTTCCCAATATCCATCAAACATATGAGCTTTCACCTGACAAAAACAGAGTTTCAGACAAATCTATCCTGCCTATGATTTGCTTCCTATCTCTTTCATAACCTTTACCTTCATCCCTTGAGAGATAGCACCGGGAATGATTTCACTGGCCATGTCTTTCGCCTTCACCAAACATTCTCTCAGAAGCTTCACCATCTGTTCTCGACCAATCACGTAAATCCCTGTGCTTGGTACATACTGAGAAGAAGTTCCATCACTTCTTCTACTTGTTCTGCTCTCCACCTGCACTATCACATTTAGTCTCGCCAGATGATTCTGAATCATACAGAATACTATAGAGACATCTAACTCACGGAGATCAAATCTTGTTGACCCTTATCATCAGGATTGATAGTGAATCGAGTGACGAGATTTGTGGAATCAACTTCCATTGAGCCGAAACCAGAGTCATGGTCTGAAACAGAGCTTAGTCCAACAATGGTTATATCCGCTCTGCTTCTTCTATGATCTTCGATTAGCGTCTTGTAATCCATTCGATAGAGATGATGTCCAGGAAGAACCAAGAACTCAGTCACTGGAAACTCTTCAAAAACCCACAAGCACCTTCTAATCGCATCAGCAGTTCCCTTTTTGTTAACACACATAAAACAAAGATTACTTTAAGAACACGCAACAGATCTAAAAAACAGATGAAATTGATTTTAAGTAGTGGCTTTTAGTTTTATTAAACCTGAAACCATCCTTGATCTTCAAGGCTCTGATAAGCGGCGATGACTTCAACAAATCTGTCTTTTCCGAGTCCGAATCCAGTGTAAGCTCTAGAGAGATGTGAGTTGAGAGAAGTGGAATTAAACTGAGTGATTGCATAGATCTTGGTGATGTCACTGTTGATGCAATTACTGATGACTGCATCGATAAGTCGGTAATTTGCTGCAATAGGAATTGCTCCTTTGGATCTTGTTTTGGTAAGTGGATAAAGCTCAGCGTCTGATCCTCCTCCGAGTACAATGGCCGCCACACTCTGGTTCAAAGGATGCTGCTGAGAGTTTGATACAGAGAGGTTTGGACATGAGCTTGGAACGACAAGCTGCTTCAAGTTATGGTTATGTCTCCATTGATTATGATGGCTACTCGATTTTATTATATGGAGATTTGTCAGTTTGGTAGAAGAAGAAGAATAAATCTGCATTTTCGATTATGAACAGAGATGATTCAAGAAACAACAAAAATGGGTTTGATATTTGAGAATATAAGGTGTTGGTTTTTGAAACATGTGATGGTGGTTGTGGTGAAAGCGGTCCGACATTTTCTGTTGCAGACTTTTTTTTTGTTTGTTTTTAACTTTGCCTTTGCTTGTGAAACTATGTCTTCTTAAAATCTCTTTAGCTTGTCCTGACTCTTTCGATTTGATTCCTAGCTTCTTCTTCTCTTTTTTATTTGTTTTGTTTTCCTTTTTTTTGTTCGTTATCTTAAAGAGGGCTATTAATGTTATTATATATATAATTTATTGATCAAGGAGATTCAAAAGGAGATCTAGGAGAAGCTTGAAACTTCAGAGGTTTTGAGATGCAGTGCATGTATCACATGAATCACGGGGAAAGCTCTATTTTAGAATTTAATCATTTACTGAAAAAAAACGGATAATATTGCCGAATATTTTTGAATAGAATTTTTTTTTTATTATGAAAAAGATGTTTAATATTGATTGAGAACTTTATTGGTATTTTACATTTTTTTTTTAATAGGATTTGTTAGAGCTCTTGGATATGTGAAAAGCAAGAATAGTTTTCATATAGGAATTCTTTTTTTTTCTCTCTCTTAGAGAATCATACTTTAGGAATTCTGCAAACCAAAAATGCACAATTTCTATCAATTAGTTTGTTCTAGTACCGTGCTGTGTCACAAGTAATAACTCATATCCAGTATGTGTGTGTGTGTTAGTTGTATACGGTAATACGACAAAACAAATTATAAAATATTTTTTATTAGAAATAAAAATTTCTTAGGTTAAAAATATATTCAATTGACCAAAAATTATCAATGCAACACCGCATAGTTTTTAGTTTACCAATCAGTTAATATTGAAAATCCTCAACTTATTAAGATAACGATATATAAGGTCAAGATGGTAACAATTTGAATGGATGGCGTGGATCCGAAGGTTAGAATGCTATACCCTTGTGACCTTGTCTTATACTTCGTATCTTTTTTGTTTTTTTGTATGAATCTTTCTAATTAGGCAATAATGTCCTAACTATAAAAATAGAAAGATTTAGCTAGTAAAGCACCTAGAAAGAATCTCGGGATTCTTAATGAAAATCTGAAGAATCTAATAAAGTGGATATGAAAAGAAATCCTTGAATTCTTAACTAAAAACCAAAAAAGCACCAAAAACACACTACCTGAAAGACAAACCTAACTTAATAACATACTTGGATAGTAAGTCATCATTAGGTTTTCTCATGGATTACTAAAGTAGAGTTTCTCCACCCGGATTTAGATTTTCAGGAATCACTCGTCCGCGTAAGAAGAACGAGAGCAAAGTAGAGTTTGCCATTAGAGTGAAAAGACCAGAGGCGAATGTCATCGTTCTTCTGTAGATCGATATATCATTAGTTTTTGTTGTCGTTCCCACGTCACCAATCTTGCGGTTTCTGATTGGCTTAGATGGAGACTCAACGACAGGTGCTTTGAGTTTGTCGGCTTTTGAGTCTTTTGTCTTGGCACCTCTTATTTGCTCGTCATTATATCGAGCTCTCTCTCTTTCTTTTGTTTGTTTATTTCTATTATACAAGGACATGTCGAGATTTCATGATAATGGCCGTCTTCCTATCTCTCATCAGCCAGTTCAATTAAGATTTTGTGTTGAGTTTGTTTCAAAAACGTTCTTTCAGTTTAAAAATTGTATTGTGGTTTTCTTTGATTCGTTTTCAATTTCGACTTTACTGAGAGACATACTAAATTAAAGACCAAAACTTCCTTAACGAAGCCATTAGCCAAAAATTGCAACAAAAAAATCTCTAGAAAGAAAAAAAGCACTAAAAAGCCCTAGAAAGAAAACCTTTGTTAATTGGGTGGCAAGTCATCGTGAGATTTCTCACATGTCACTGAAGAAGAGCAGGGTTTAGAGAAAAGCACTAACAAAAAGCCCTAGAAAGAAAACCTTTGTTAATTGGGTGGCAAGTCATCGTGAGATTTCTCACATGTCACTGAAGAAGAACACATCTCCTCGGATTTAGATTCTCCGGAATCACTGGTAGGAGGAACAAGAGCGAAATAAAGCTCGTCGTCACCAGAGCGAAAAGACCAGACTCGAATCGTATCGTTCTCCTTTAGACCACAAAAGCTTACCACTGTCTTCCACCCTGTAACCAAATTGTAAATATGAGAGGAGCTCCCTGATTTCTTGTCCATGTTCCATCTCCTCACATTCACATCAAACACCCATCCATCAGAACTCACAAGATTCGCGTCAACTCCTACCATGTGATCCCTGTAGGCATCTTCTTGTATGATCTTTAGTTCCTCAGGGTTCAAGAATTCCAAGTCAACGATCTTGCTGAAAGGCATCGAGAGACGGTTGTGACCTGGGCTCATATCTGTTTTCGTCAGTTCCTTCTCTATGATTTTCTTCGGATCTTTTCCGTTCATGGTGCTCATCAACTCCAACAGCCACTCCGGCGTCGGCTCTCTCGTCCCGGAAGAAGAAGCTTCCGCACAATCTGTCCCGCGTTTTGCCTTCTTAGCTTGTTTCTTCATGGTAGGAAACAGAGGAGGACGTTTCTTGAGGTTCTTAGTGGGCTTTGCTGGAGATTCCATTGGTGGGCCGTTGGAGATTCCATCAGAATCTTCTTTACTCACATATTCTACTGTAGGAGTAGAAGAAGAAGAAGAATAAGTGATGGTAGCGATATGAACCCTTAAGCTTCTTCTCCGTCGTGGAACTCGGACAAAAACTCTTTCCTCCCTCTCTCTTGCGTCCACAACACTCTGTTTCATCGTCGATGGAGGCAGTGAGCCACTTAACATTAATAGTATCCGTGCAGCTTCTTCATCATCAATCATTGTGATATACTTTAGCAGTTCTTCTTTGTTATTTCTTAGGGTTGTCAACGTAGCTCCAACAAATTTATTTATATAGAGAGATGCATCACCCGTCCAAATTCTTTCAGGTTTCGAAGTTGTATCTCCCAATCTTATCTGAATTAGTGTAAATTTCCTTTTTTTAATGGTATTTTCCTTTTCCTATATCTATATGGGATTAAAGAAGCGATTGCGCGCGTGAATTATTATCCATCCATTCTCTTTTAATTTATTATTTCCAAAATAATATCCTCGGTTTTTATAAAGGGAAATAAACAAATTATAGTGTCGGCAAAGAAAAATAGATTTTGATTAGGAATTCAGGTTTAGCAAAAATGATTTATTTCTGAAAAGCTTCAAAAGCTTATTTCTGATTACCCTGATTGGCCAGAGGATGCTAAATATGAAAAGAAATATGTGACGAGTCTGATTAATAATAAGGGATGACTCTGTTTCTGGACTAAGTTTTCCGGTTTGATTCTTCTTTGTCTAAACCTAAATGTCATAAAACCGGGTGGTAAAAATCAGGTTGAACCGGTGTCTGAGATAGAAAAAAAAAATGCTTGGTTTCCATACGAAAAAGTCTCTCATGAATTTTCAGATACAATCATCGTCTTCATTTAGAATAATCGATGCTGAACCATATCTAATCTGGATCTTGACTGATACCGGAGTAGAGAAGGAAGAAATATGAAAACTACCAAAATAAATTAAAAAAGAAAATGAAAACTTTGGAAAGAGATCATTAAAAAACGTAACTGCATTAAAAAAGAAATTGATTAGCTCATGAAAGGAAGAAGCAGCCAAAAAGGGGACAAGAAAGCCACGATTGCAGACTGGAAAAGAAAGGACATCCCTTTTTCTATGAACTCTTTGCTTCTCTTCTTTTTTGTACTGATCAATAAGATTTTCGAAAAGACTCTGTTTTTATATGTGTGTGTAGACGAAACTTAAGAAACTAGCTTTTTCGGCATCTGGGTCCCTCAAAATCTCCGCCTTTTCCGTGCTCAAGTCTCATCGCGATGGGAGAGCGCAAGAAGATTATCATCGATACTGATCCAGGAATCGGTATATTATCCCTTTTTTTTTTAATTCCTTTATTGGATTCGATTCCGAGCAATAGTCTCTGTTTCCGTATTGTCTCTGCTCTTTAAATTCGGATTTGGAAAGTTTGGGTCTAGTAATTCTCCAATTTGAACTACTGGGTTTACGTGTTTCTGAAAAATAATTGTAAGATCTGAGACCGATCCGAGAAATGGTTTATCTCATCATGAGTTTCTTCTCACTGGATTTGATGATATGTAGACGATGCAATGGCGATATTCGTGGCTCTAAAATCACCAGAAGTTGATGTGATTGGCCTCACGACTATCTATGGGAACGTGTACACCACTCTCGCCACTCGAAACGCCTTGCATTTGGTATCATTTCTACACTTTGTTTCATAATGGAATGGAATATCAATGAGCTCTAATCAATTGCTTCTTTGTGTATCTACTAGTTGGAGGTTGCGGGTAGGACGGATATTCCTGTGGCTGAAGGAACACAGAAAACTATACTGGTACGTTTCTAGTTTTTGGACCTTATTGTGTTGCTATTGTAAGAAAGATGGATGCTATAATGTGTTTGAGTTTCAACAATTTTCTTAGATTACAAAAAAGTAGCTTTACATGATGAAATAAGAACATGCAAGATGCTCCTCGTCACCTCTTTTGTCAACCTTTAGAAGTCAAATGATAAGCAGCTTTACATGATGACATTTCAACACTTACCTTTTGCCCTTTTCCTATCTCTTTGCCTTAATATTAATGAAATTGTTATCTTTTCTTCTGTGAAGAACGGTACAAAGCTTCGAATTGCCGACTTTGTTCATGGAAAAGATGGGCTTGGCAATCAAAATTTCCCTCCACCTAAAGGAAAGCCAATCGAAAAAACTGCACCTGAGTTCTTAGTTGAACAAGCTAAGCTTTACCCTGGCGAAATCACTGTTGTTGCTTTGGGACCACTAACAAATATCGCACTGGTCAGACTTTTCCCCGGAATTTTTCATTTTCATTTTGGTCATACTTCTCTCTATCCCATTTCTCATTGAAGATTTCATTACCTTGATGCAGGCTGTTCAGCTAGATCCTGAGTTTTCAAAAAATGTCGGGCAAATTGTTCTTCTTGGTGGAGCATTCGCAGTAAACGGAAATGTAAATCCAGCTTCGGAAGCTAATGTAAGTTCTTGCGCCCATTAAAGTAATATGAATATGTGATCTTCATACACATTAGATCATACATCACCTACTCAACTGTGAATATAATGAAATCTTCTACTCTGGAGGTTCTTTCTCTAATTTCCGCATATTTATTTATCCAATTTGTTGGCTAGGGTAGATTTTTGGTGATCCAGAAGCTGCAGATATTGTGTTCACATGTGGGGCCGATATAATTGCTGTGGGAATCAACGTGACACATCAAGTTATTATGACAGGTTATTTGTAAAATCTTTTGTCTGCTTTTTGATGTTTCATTTATGTATACAAACGTTGTTAGCATAATCAGTTCATCTTAACTTCTTGGTTTTCTTTGGTGTGTTTCCGCTTGATTTAGCTGATGACAGGGACAAATTGGCATCATCGAACGGGAAATTAGCTCAATACCTCTGTAAAATCCTTGGTGTGTACTATTCTTATCATCTTGATGCTTACGAGATCAAAGGTAACATTTTAGTAAACCATTTGTTCTTTAGACCCAAAATAACAAAGTTTCTACGTTTACATGTTTTATCTTAACCATTTTATCCCGGTAGGTGTTTATCTTCATGATCCAACGACGATCCTTGCGGCTTTCCTTCCTTCTCTGTTCACTTATACTGAAGGAGTTGTTAGAGTACAAACAAACGGCATCACTAGAGGACTCACTTTACTGTACAACAATCGAAAGAGGTAAGGTTGTCATATATACATACATTCACGAAAGCAGTTTTTTTATAGCATAAAGAATGTGAATGTGCCTTTCTCTCTATAAGAACGGTGCGGTTATATGCATAAATGAACTGCAAAATACGTGAAGCCTTTCATTAGGAAGTTTGGAAACTAACCAACTGTATGAACAAGATTAGAACGAGAAACTTTGGACTTATGATGGGCTAAAAAAAAAAAATCATGTCATGTGTGTTGTTTTGATGTGAACCAGATTTGAGGAATTGAACGAGTGGTCAGACAAACCATCGGTAAAAGTGGCAGTTACGGTTGATGCTCCTGCGGTCTTGAATCTCATAATGGATAGGCTTATGGAGTCTTGAAGCTCATAATGGATACAGAGGCTGACTTATCTCTATCTCTCTCGTTGATGTTTCACTTCTTGTGAGCCATTTCCAATTGAAATAAGGCTCTTCTTGCTAACTCTATATCATTTGGGTGTTTTTTTTTATAATCTTTATCAACCATATTTATCATCTGATGATCTATCAATAATAAAGTCTAGTTCTTCCTTTTCTCCAAGTTTATGACTATACATTCAAATCTGTTTCATGATGATCTACTTAATCACAAAAACGAGACTACATAATAACGTTTAGACATTTTGTTAGAGTTACCTACATTTTGGTGATTGATCGGTGGAGACTTAATAATAAAAGATGCATCAACAATATCAAACTTTTTTATTGGTAACAAGGGTAACAATATCAATATTTGTGACAGTCTTAAAAAGAAAAAAAGAATGTTCAGCTGAAAAACGCAAAGCTACAATAAATAAGCTTATTTTAAGTCAATAACCATAACGCATGGATTTTAATGTGCTTTTGACTATTTTAATGCATGGCACGATCTCCATGTAGTAGATATAAAAAAATAAAGGAAGAATAAAAAATCAAATCAAATTTGAGAAATCGGAAAAACTGAGGGATTTAAAAATAAAACAAACGAACGTGAGAAGGACTGGTAACATAAATATATACTTCTCTCTTTGACTGCGTCTTCCTTGGAGAATCACAAAAAAAACATTCTTTTTAATTTATTTTTGTTTTCCTCTGTTTCAGAAGCAGAGAAGAAGGAAACAAAGAGAGACTCTCTCATGAATCCAAAAAACAAACACATTCGCTTCCAATACATTTGTCGTCGTCATGCTTCTCTCTCTCTCTCCCGCAACGACGTGCTCTCCTCTCATTCTCTCTCTCCTGACTTGTCTCACTCTCATTTTCTCTTCCCCATTTTCCACCATTCCCAAATTTCTCCACTTTCCCAGCTCCTCTGTTTCTCTCCAGCTTCTCCATGGATTCGCTAATCATCGAGGAAGAAGACGATGCGGCGTTGGCGTCTCTCGTCCCTGTTCCTCCTCGGCGTAAGACGCATTCCTACAGCCAGCAATTCGACCAGAAGCCTCACCATCAGATCCGCAAGCACAGCCTCGACGAGGTCCCTAGATCCGCCACGTTGGGAACCGAAGCCGTTTACTTCGATTCCTCCGACGACGAGTTCTCCACCGGAGGTGTCATCGTCAACGGCGAAACCGTCTGCGATGGAAACGGCGTTGGCGACGATTACGCCGTCGTTACGCCTCCCCCTAATGGCGGTCTCGGGGAGGACGATATCGAGCCTCTCCCGGAGTTCATCGGCGCGGGAGGCGGCGCCGGAATATTCAAGGTTCCGGTACGCGCGGCGGTTCATCCCGGACGTCCGCCGTGTCTGGAGCTGCGGCCGCATCCGCTAAGGGAGACGCAGACGGGGAAGTTCTTGAGGAACATTGCTTGTACGGACACGCAGCTTTGGGCGGGTCAGGAGAACGGCGTGAGGTTCTGGAATTTGGAAAAGGCGTACGAGACAGGGTGCGGGATCGGCGGCCAGGTACGGCGAGGGGATGAGGATACGTCGCCGTTTCATGAGTCGGTTACTACTTCGCCCACCATGTGTTTGGTTGCTGACCAAAGCAACAAGCTTTTGTGGAGTGGCCACAAGGATGGAAAAATCCGGGCTTGGAAGATGGATCAGCCTTGTGATGCTGATGATTCTGATCCTTTCAAAGAGCGAATCTCGTGGCAAGCTCATCGTGGTCCAGTGAACTCCATTGTCATTAGCTCTTATGGTTAGTTTACTCTTGTGGTTTGTTGCTTCGTTTTCACATAAACGATGACGTTCTTGTTCATCATGCTTATTGTTTATGATGTAGGTGATATGTGGTCATGTTCTGAAGGAGGTGTGATCAAAATATGGCCTTGGGATTCGTTAGAGAAATCTCTCCTGCTTAAACCGGAGGAGAGACACATGGCTGCGTTATTAGTCGAGAGGTCTGCCATTGACCTCAGGAGCCAAGTTACTGTCAATGGGACATGCAACATATCTTCCTCAGAAGTCAAGTATCTGTTAGCCGATTCAGTAAGAGCTAAAGTGTGGGCTGTGCAGTCACTCTCATTCTCAATCTGGTAGGTTTTTTAAACAATTTCTCTCTACCAATGACACAGTGGTGTATGTTCTGTTCCTTTCAGTCACTTCTTGATCATTCTAAGAGATTGATCCGTGTAGGGATGCTCGGAGTAAAGACCTTTTGAAAGTTTTAAATGTTGACGGGCAAGTTGAGTGTCGTGCGGACATCCCACCTATACAAGACCAACAAGTTGACGATGAGATGAAAGTGAAGTTTTTCTCAGCTTCAAAAAAGGAAAAATCACAGGGGTTTCTGCAGCGGTCACGTAATGCCATAATGGGAGCTGCTGGAGCTGTTCGCCGAGTCGCCACTAGAAGTGCTGGTGCGTTTTCCGAAGATACACGGAAGACAGAAGCTATCGTCTTAGCCGTAGATGGAACAATTTGGACTGGAAGCATGAGTGGCCTAATTGTCCAATGGGATGGAAATGGAAGCCGCTTGCTAGATGTGAATCACCATCACAGGCCTGTTTTGTGCTTTTGCACTTTCGGCGATCGAATATATGTGGGCTATGCAAGTGGCTACATACAGGTCTTGGATCCTGATGGAAAGTTAATTGCAAGCTGGGTTTCACACAATGAACCTGTGATAAAGCTAGCAGCCGGTGGTGGTTTCATATTTAGCTTGGCTACTCACGGTGGAGTACGTGGATGGTATGTGACATCTCCGGGACCTCTAGACAACATTATCCGAACAGAATTGTCTCAGAAGGAAACTTCATATGCCAGACAAGACAATGTTAGAATTTTAATTGGCACCTGGAATGTTGGTCAAGGACGTGCTTCACACGATGCGCTTATGTCGTGGCTGGGCTCTGTCACTTCAGATGTTGGCATTGTCGCTGTTGGGTTGCAAGAGGTGGAGATGGGGGCAGGTTTTCTTGCCATGTCTGCTGCTAAGGAAACGGTAACTCCATTTATCACACGTTTGAACTTGCTTGGACTTGAAACTTTTTCCATAGCGCAAAGCTTGTATTGTTTGTTTGAGAGAGGTTAAAAAAGTTCATGTTTTCTTTGGCTCAAGTTTTCTCTGTCCTTATCACTCTTCAAGAAATGAGGTTTTTGCTGCTTTATTAGCTTCAATTAACTCAAATTCATATGTGATCATGCTCCCATCTACATATTTGGTTTCACCTCATATTTGTATCGCGGTTGTAGGTTGGACTTGAAGGAAGTGCTGTGGGGCAATGGTGGATTGATGCAATTGGAAAAGCACTTGATGAGAAGAACACTTTCGAGCGTATGGGTTCAAGGCAGTTGGCAGGACTTCTGATATCGCTTTGGTGAGTAATATTTCAGTTGTGAAGTTTTGCATTCTCGGCTTAGCTTTTATACTTTTTGAAAGGTCTACGATCAGCTGTTGTTTATCTTCCATAATAAATCAAGTAGAGTCTGTGTCACTTGTTTTTCTTCCCATGTTAAACCCTTTGCGTTGTAATTTTCTGCTTAGGGCGAGGAAGGATATTAGAACACATGTTGGAGATCTTGATGTTGCAGCAGTCCCATGTGGCTTTGGCCGTGCCATTGGCAACAAGGTATGTCTTACAATATCTCCACTTCATTTTTTGTATTTCTTAAATTCTGATTATAGAGCTTATGCCCACTTAAGCCTTGGGCATTTCATTATCTATTGCTCTCTTGTGTTACTGTGAAAATGCAAACGAGGAAGTTATCTATATGAAATGTGTTGCGTACTTGCAATGTATATGAGGAACTTCTTCAGTTTACTCTCAGTAACTCGTTATTTCCTACTTGTCAAAATCAGGGAGGTGTGGGTCTGAGAATCAGAGTTTATGACCGAATTATGTGCTTTGTGAATTGCCACTTGGCTGCGCATTTGGAGGCAGTTAACCGCAGAAACGCAGATTTCAATCACATTTTTCGATTAATGGTCTTTTCCCGAGGACAAAATCTGAATAACGCTGCAGCTGGTATGGTGCCGTACCTGTATTTGTCTTGCTCACTTGGCTTTTCCACGTATTTATTTTGGCTGCTTTGTTCTTCTGGTTTGCCATGGGCCCTCTCTCTTGCAGCTGGTGTCTCAACAGCCGCTTATACACTAAAGAGTAACACTGTATGTTCTTACTTCAACACTTGAATTCTATCCTTGTCTTGCGATGCCAATACTTAGTTTACGTTGTGTGCTCCTTTAATTTTTTACTAAAGACATGTTTCTCTGTTTCCCAGAATCCTAGCACCGGTACTGAAGAGGTCAAGTCTGATTTAGCAGCAGCAGACATGATCACATTCTTTGGCGATTTTAACTATAGGCTGTTCGGTATATCCTACGACGAAGCAAGAGACTTCATTTCACAGCGATCCTTCGACTGGCTCAGAGAAAGGGACCAACTTCGACAAGAGATGAAGGTTGGAAAAGTCTTCCAAGGAATGCGCGAGGCATTAATCACTTTCCCTCCGACTTACAAATTTGAAAGGAATCGCTCAGGTCTAGGAGGTAAAAAATGAAAATCTGAAACAGTAACATATGCATTTGAAACAGTTTTGTTCTGCTCTATTTTCTGCATTGTTCTCCTCTTTCAGAACAATTGGTGGCTCCAGAAAAAAATTTAAACTTTCTGTGCTGTGTACTCCCCAGGATATGATTCAGGGGAGAAGAAGCGGATTCCTGCATGGTGTGACAGAGTTATATATAGGGACACTCAATCAAGCCCGTTCTCAGAGAGCAATTTGCAATGCCCTGTAGTTTCCTCGGTTATAATGTATGGTTTGGTTTCATGCCCACTTTGCTTATGTTTCTCGCTCTTTCTACTATCTTCAGGTTCTTTTTCCTCTTTCTAACATTTCCACCTGCGTGTTTCAACAGGTACGAAGCTTGCATGGATGTTACTGAGAGCGATCACAAACCCGTGCGCTGCAAATTTCATGCGACCATAGCTCACGTTGATAAATCTGTGCGGAGACAGGAACTAGGGAAGATAATAAGGTCCAATGAGAAGATAAGATCAATATTCGAGGATCTAAAATCTGTTCCAGAAACAACTGTGAGCACCAACAACATTGTTCTTCAAAGTCAGGACACAGTCATCCTAACAATCACAAACAATTCAACCACAAGCAAAGCCATTTTCAACATTCTCTGTGGCGGTCAGACTATAGTTAGGGATGACGGTGAAGATTCTGACTATACTCCACGAGGCTCCTTTGGTCTACCTCGCTGGCTTGAGGTATTATTTTCTCTTTCCACGCCAATAAATTCCAAGTGGTATTCAAGAATTTTAACGACTTTCAAGAATTCTTCTTTTAGGTTTCGCCAGCAGCTGGGATAATAAAACCGGAAGGATCCGTGGATGTGAAGGTTCATCACGAAGATTTCCACACATTGGAAGAGTATGTTGATGGCATTCCACAGAATTGGTGGTGTGAAGACACTCGAGATAAAGAAGCAATTCTAATGGTGAGCATTCGAGGAAGCTGCTCAACTACATCAACAAGCCACTCAATCAAAGTCCGTCACTGCTTCTCAGCCAGAGTATGCCTCCTTGAGTCCAAACCGACGAACCTAACAAAGAACCTAGGCGGTTCACGTCGCTATCCAACAGATATTAGCCGTAATGGAAGCACTAGACCCAGAACCGAAGACTCAGTTAGACGGGGTAAAAGCCGGTGATGAACTCTTGTAACATTGACAGTTTTAACTAGACCTTAGAGCAGATGAACAACAAAGCCATCACTAAACCAATGCATCAGGTTAAGGAATCTCTTTTATTCTTTATTTGATTCTTTAGATAATTCGTTTTGTGTCCGAAACTGTAGATTTGTTTTGAGATAAATTCCTCAGGTATTGTGTACTCAAATTTTGACTCTCCTCACTTGAATGTAAACAGTTTATAGGTACCTGACTCGTGTATGCAATTGTTACTCTTACATAAAATGTTGCCGTTCTTGAGACTTGGGGAAACCTGCCTCAGCAATTCAGTTTACATATTTTAGCTGTCCAACTCAAGCATTTCATGACAAAACAGTGAAAATAAACAAGCACTAGGTGATTGTGACAAGTCAAAGTCTTCCACTTTGTTAGTTATATTGAAAACAACATTTTATTTACAAAAAATAATTGTATCTTATTGGTGACGATAGGCTTTATTACGGAAAACAAGCACTTTCGGTACAAAACTATTTGGATCATCCTTCTCTGAATCTTATATTCACGGTAACAGCGGTTAAAAGGTTTTTAAAAAATACACAATCCCTCCCCTATTAACATTATTTACCATTTCCAAATAAATTTACAACAAGAATATATGATTTTAACGGTTTAGACAACTAGTAGGTTGAATAACACCGAGACTAGTCCCAACAGCATTGAAACAGTAGGAGGTAGCAGGAGTTCCTTTGTTGTAAGTAAGCTTGATGTCCTGTAATGTGATTCCTGTGCATGGACTGCTCTTGCTACACACCAGCTTCATCGCTTGCTGTGTCGCAGACGTTCCTCGTATATTCTTGTACGTCACTTGACTAATCTTTACCCCCGAATGCTATATACATACGCATATATAAATCTTAAATTATTAGATCATTTCCATAAACATATATAATTATTGGATTAGTCTGATCAAAATATATATACCTCGGTAGGGCAGCCTTGGTGGGAAGGACAATAGTTTTGGTCGATAATGATAGGGTTTTGGACGTTCTTCATGATTAGGTTTTGGAAGAAGACGTTATTAACGAAACCGTTGCTCGGCCTCGCCCACGACTTGATCCTCACACCGTTTTGTGTTCCGGTGAATACCGAACTCGATACTGTCACGTTCTCTACCCCGGCTTCGTTAAATTGCTTCGCCAAGCTCCCAATGCTGCGAGACATAGTCATATATACAGATTCATAATCTTGTTACGGAATATAAAGACCTATTACATGCACATAATAAAAATACAAAAATAGAGGGTTGTGTAATATATATACACATACCTAACCCCGTGACCTGGGCCACACGCAAGTTTGGAGATGAGGAAGTTGCGGGTACCAGGACCGATTGCAACACAATCGTCTCCGGTCTGAACGGTGCTTCCGGTGAATGTGACTCCGGTGGAGAATTGAACGCCGAAGCCGTCGGTGTTTGGGCTGTTTCCGGGAGCCAGTAGCTTTACGTTACGGACGGCCACATTGGTGCAACCGTTGAGGGTCATATGGGAGACTTGGCTGTTCAACGATTTCACTCCACTTATGATCACGTCTTTTCCCGAGTTGAACGTTATGGACTACAATAATGCATATCAAAGATTTATGAGATTGGTTTCGCGGGTCAAATATTGACTATTATACTAATGAATATTAATGATTAAGGCTATGATTGCTCTTTTGCATTATATATAGTGCTTGCGTCTTATGTATGTATATATGAATGTTAGATTTTTGTGTATATATACTTCTATCGAACATTTCTTAAAACAATCACGAAGTGAAAGCGAAATGGTAACGGAAAAAAGTATCTTGTTTGCTTGTTTATGTTTACAAGTATTTAAATACATTGGATTGTCGTTTTAAAATATACTTATTTTAAAACTATAAACCCAACCCATACATAATTAACGTAAACACATACGTATATATTTGTGACTAAAACAGTTTTTACATAATTTATTATATCACGCATATATATATATATATATGTGAGTATGCATATATAAAAAAGAAACTAGCTAGAGATAGAGAAGAATTGCATACCCTAACACCGGGAGGACAATTCTGACCAGATCTCCGGCAAGACCAGAACCCACTACCGCGAGCGTCGAAAGTCCCACCGACAAGTGAGAATTTGCTAACCTTGTTGAAGAGAATCCAGTAGCCGGAGTTTCCAAATGCCCTGTAATCTGCCGGAGCAACGACGGTTCCGGCCACTTGAAACTTGAGCTTGCTCTTGCATGGCCCTCCAAACGTTATTCCCTTCACCAGAAATGTACCGGTTGGAACCATCATAGTTGCTGAAGCTGCCGAGCCACAAGCCGCTTGCCATGCCTCGAGGAAGGCTGCCGTCGAATCCGTGACTCCGTCCGGTTTGGCCCCGAAGTTAAGGACGTTGAATACCTTGGATGCGCCAGTTGAAGCATCGATGAAGGTGATCAGGAGTGTGAAGAGAAGTGGTAATGTACTCTTTGATTTCGTCATTTTATATGTGCATGTAAGATTTGAGTTTGTGTTTGTATTGGTGTTGATGCATGGGTGTTATATAGTGCGTGAATGGTTCGTTATTGATCTATGGTACAACTTAGTACATGTGCTGTCTATATGATAAGGAGTTTGTGAAATTATTTGGGATTGATAAAAGAGTTTACATTTCCAATCATTAGGTGCACACATGGTTGGTATAATATTTTTAGGAGCAACGGTCGTTGTAGTAACGATGAAAATTTTGCAAATAATCAATTTCACCTATTCTAGGTACATATCATTCTTGGTAATTTGTATATGTTGCTTTTATTATTGATGTATAAGAAAATACGTTGGAACTTACTAAACGGGGTTGATTCACTACTTTTATATATATACATGCTGATATGCACGTCACGACCAAAAATCGACCATACCGTTAATTACTGTGAACTGTAGAATAGAATTTTTAAAAATGTAAATAAATAGATGTGCAACATGTGGTTAACTAGCTGTTGACCCAAAAAAAGACATGTGATTAACTAGCTCGCACATTATTGAAACTAACAATCATAGTCGTTAATCATTCTGAACAAAATGAAAGAAAGTCAATTTATATAATTATATATATTTATTTATTTATATGCGACCACATGTATTTATTTATTTGATTAGGTAGATGAGACTGAGAAAGATAAAATTAAGTAAATGGAAATAATGTGATTTATTGCTATTAAATAGTGTGAAATTTCTAATTACTTTGTTTTATATCTAGAATATACTATTTCCGACTCACTATTTTATTAATAAAATTTTAAAATTATACATATTTGTTATTCTCGTGAATATAAATACTCAAATTTAGTTCGTCAAGTTCGTAAAAATATAAAAATCAAAGATATTAGAATACAAACTTGTAAGTTGGAAATTTGAAATTAGTTAATATATGAGAAACATAGAATGGCTTTTTTGACCAGTCCGTTAAATGCTTACACGAGTCGGATAATATATGTTTGAAGTATAAACACTATGAAATGAAATTGAAGCAGCATAAAAAAAAAATCAGTCACATGTGAGTGGAGGAGAAGAGGCGCAGCAGTTGACGGAGAAAGAGACGCCGGAGCTCTCGGATTATTAAGATGATGAGATGCCAAAACTAACAACAACAAGAAATATAGTTGATAAAATATGATATCATCTATTAATATAATTTGTCACTGGATAAAATAACATACTCTGTTCAAAATTCATGTTATTTGTAAAGAACACACAAATTACTGAATGTTTATTAAAAAAAACTGGTATCATCATCTCTACAAGACATAAAGTTATAGAAAGACTGAAATAATTACAAGACATAAAATTATAGAATTAAAATGATAAACAAACATAACTAATAATTTTTAAATTAGATAACTGTAAGGACTAATTTTTAGAATGCATATAATTTCAAATTTGAAGATATGAAATCTCTCTTGGAGATGTCCTAATTGGCTTCCCTTAGTTCCTCATCTACAAGGTAATTCTCTATAATTTCATCAACAGGATCTACAATTGTATCTGCCCTCCTGTCCTTGTATTTTGTAACACTGAAAAAGTCCAAAATTTCTTTATCTGCAGCTAATCCTTCTCTTTTCATTTGCTCAAAAACATCTCTCGCCTCCACAAATTTCTTCCTCTTGAAGAATCCTTTAATGAGTGCGCTATACGTGCAGGCGGAGACACTAAATCCTTTCTCGTTCATTTCTCTGTACAAAAACCATGCCTCCTTCATGTTCCTAGCCTTGCAATGGCCTCTAATCAGATTCTCATAAGTCTTACCATCAGGTCCTACTTCCCGAGAACACATGTCTTTATAAATGGCAGTTGCTGCCTTCAGGTTACTTCTAATGCAATACTGCTTCACGAGAGAATTATATGTAGTTGCATTAGGTGCTATACCTTTTGCCAACATCCAATTTAGAAGCTTCTCACCATCTTCCAACATCCCATGCAAACAAAAGCCGTTCATTAGGACATTAAATGTGACAACAGTAGGTTGAAGCCCTCTCCCAAGCATCTCCTTCAGAATCTCTTGAGCCTTAGCCATGTTCCCTGCTTTACAGTAGGCGTCCATTAAGATTGTATAAGTGACAGTGTCTGGATTCACTCCTGCACCTTCAAATTCTCCAACAAGTTTGATTGCCTCCTCGATATTCCCCGACTTACATAGGCCATTGACAATGGAATTATAAGTAAATATATTTGGTTGAAGACCTATTTTCCACATTTCATGGAGAAGTTCGTTAGCTGAATCTAAGTCCCCTTCCTTACAGAGCCCATCAATTAATGTGGTGTACGTGACAACATTCGGGGAGCACCCAGCCTGAATCATGTGGTTGTGGACACTAAAAGCATCTTTTATCTGCCCTGCTTTGCAATATCCATTAATAAGTTCAGTAAAAGTAATGCTATCCGGTTCTAAACCCCTGCAAAGCATTTCATGGAAAAGTTTACCAGCCTCCACCATGTCACCAATCTGACAAAACCCCGATATAATAGCAGTATGCGTCAAAACATCTGGTGTAATATCCAGAGAGTGCATCTCATAAAAAAACTTTGATGCAGCCCGAATATTCCCTTGCTTGCAGAAACCATCAATAAGAGTTGTGTACACTACAGTGTCAGGAAGTATGCCCTGCCCTAGCATCTCTCGAAAAGCTTCTTCTGCTTCGGCTAGCTTACAAGTCCTGCAGAGCAAAAGAATTATGCTACCAAAAGTATAAGAATTTGGCTTCAGACCCTTCCGTTTCATTTCTTCAATGAGCTTCCAAGCCTTTCCAAGTTCCCCAAATCTACAGTATCCATTTATCACTGTACTGTAACTGATTACATCAGGTGTGTAGCCCTTCAACTCCATAAGCAGGAGTAGATGGTGGGCTTCGATTATCCTCCCAAGTTGACAAATACAATGAATAACGATGTTATAAGAAACAACATTCCAACAGACACCCACTTCAGGAAACTCTTTGAACACTATAACAGCCGCTGCAAATTGATTGCAGTCTTTCGAAAGACGGTCAAGGTATAAATTGCAGGAATCAACAGATAAAACCAACCCGTAACTCAACATCTTCTCAAAGACTTTTCTCGCTTCAAGAAGCATTCCAAATTCAACGAGTACTTGGAAGAAGACGTCGAATACATGAGGATCCGAACCCCAGTCCTTGTAGGTGTACACCAAAAGATCAAAAAACTGTAGAAATGAAACAGTAACATTCAACTTTGGTGTCTCCCAAAAACTGCTCATGAGAGAATGAGCCAGTACTAGATCCTTGGACGCCACAGCCAAATGAGTGACGATACAAAGAGATTCAAGGTTGGAGTCTCGGCGAGAGCGTGCCCAGTCGAAGAAATCAAGAACCAACCTGTAATCAGACTTAATCTTCATGAGAACCCAAATCAAGTGATCAGTCCTGAACTTGCATTCGTATGGCTTCAAACTCCGCCTCAGAGGCTCAGCCCGACGCAGCTTAATGACGTTGGTGATATGGTGTACCAATTCAGTGTCTCTAACTGAAGGTTTCTTCGGAGAGTAATCAGGGAATGGTCTAATCTCAGTTACCGACGAGAAACTGAGTCCACGAGCGTTGGGAGTATCTCGGAAAGACCGAAGTGAAAAGAGCTGAATGAAATTTCCAAAGGCAGAAATGGTACCTCTCTTCATTACAGGGACACAATTGATGGCTGCTTCATCGTTCCATCAACAACCGCGAGCTAAGTATACAGTCGAGGCATGAAGAGAAGAAAAGTTATTCGCTCGATTCGATAAACCCTAAAATCTAAGACTGGCACAAAGCGGGTGATGGCGTTTCGACGTGGGTTTGGTGTGAAACGAGTGAATCATAGGAATGCAACGGGAAACTGTAAGAATTTGATCGAAACCCATACAATAACGAAGAAAAATGAACTTTTTATTTTCTCTCCCAGTATCCCCTTGAGAAGAAAAAGACCATTCTTTTGAAAACGAAGGACACACAGCGTGCGATTGAGAACGACGATCAATTTTGGGCCAAACAGTCATTCTAAAACTAAAACAATTTTCTTAAGAATTAAAAATTAAAGTCCGTTAAGAAGATAATTTAGGCCCATCTAATGAGGATATTTTACATGGGTCCATTAAAGGAGGAGGGGGGAAGGGGGATATAATTCATTGAAGTATTGCATTTCCTATTCAAGAAGTTCCTGGTGAATTTCGTAATTATGCAAATGTTCCTGGTAGTCAAATTGGATTTGATTCGCTGGGTGTATCATTTAGAAACTTCTACTGAATGTTGTAATCATACAAATGTTCCTGACACTCAAATTGGGGTGTATAGTCAACTTATAAAAAGATTCAGGTGAACTTGCAAACTATGGAAAACTTTCTGGCAGATTTTGCCAATAATCATTGAAAGCGAAGGTATGATTGGATAAATCAAGAAGTCCTTTGATCACACGGCACATACATATTGAGTTTTCAAAATATGGCACTTATAGAATTTTCAAAAAGTTCTCGTTTTATAAATAATAAATCTTAAATCACATTTTCTCATTTGGAATTTTGCATAGAGAGTTGTGGATTTACAAATGAGAAACTATCCTTATAACAACAAAAACAACAATTGAAAAGAATTGAAATCTAAATGACATATCATAATAGCCTAATTGTAATGTTCATAAAGAAGTTTTGCACTAGAAAATTACTTTCTAACATCTCAAATTATATCGATCAAAAAATCATTGAAACAAACTCATCAATGCTCTTATCAGAGCTACCTCCTTCAGAAACAGCCTCTCGAGCCAAAACTTTCCATTTCTCAGAATTTTTTCTAATCTCTTTCCCACTCTCTCCCTCCATAACTTCTCCCACACATCTCACAATCTCCTCTCTTCTCACAAACCCATCATCTTCTGCCTTAACCCTAACTCCAACCTTCCACACGTCCTCCATGAACTTGGCATTAGTGGGCTGGTCAGTCCAATGAGGCATACCAATCATTGGAACTCCCAAACTTAACCCTTCTAACGTCGAGTTCCATCCACAATGTGTCAAGAAACAACCCACTGATTCATGCGCAAGAACTTCAAGCTGAGGACTCCAGCTTACAATCAATCCTTTCTCACCGATCTCATCTGTGTAGTTTTTTGGAAGTTTGTCAGTCTCTGTCTCTCTCACAACCCACAAGAAGAAACATCCGGTTTGTTTTAGACCTGCTGCGAGTTCCAACATTTGATCTTCTTTTAGAATCACCAGACTTCCGAATGATACATAGACAACTGAATTAGGCTGCTTTGAGTTTAACCACTCGATGCATTCAGCGACTTTCGCATTGAAGAGGCTGAATCCGTAGTTTTTGTCTTCGGGTAGTCGCTTGTCTAAGTACATTGATGGAACTGTTGGTCCTATGTTCATGACCGGCCACAAGCTTTGGACCCATGTCAACAACTAAAAGCAGCCAAAAAAAGAAAATCAAATTAACCATAGATAAAATCGGAAAAAAGAATATTAGGAAAAAGAATGTCCCAATTAGTATCATGAATTCTTTTTCCATCAAATTTTGAGTTTATGTTTTAATATACGACAAAAATATCTCTAATGACTAATATGTGCAAATGAAATTTATTAATCTAAAATCTAATTATATCACCTAACAAATTCAAAGTTACATATGAATCTAGTTTGTGAACTAAAAAAGTCATAGATATTTATAGAAATATCTTCTAAGAACAAACTCAACAAATAATTTAATTTTTGGATAACAATTGATATAATTAGATATTTTTTAAAGTAATATATTTTCAGTACCTTTTCCTCCAATTTGTCGAAAGTATTACACAACACTACGTCGACTCGATCAATGTTTGAGAGCTGATCGATCACAATCCTTAGCATATTCGGGTAAGAGGCCGATTCGCAGAGGAAAGACGGCAAATCTTTCGCATTCAGCATAGGAAACGAAGGGAAAGATGCTAACGTCGAGTGAGCGTACTTTGTATACGGTACAGAGTAGGAGCCCTTGAGAACATGGTAGTAAATAGCTGAGACAAGCCAAGGTTGCGTGAAGAATACGGCACCGCTCAAACCATGACCATGAGCTACATCAAGAAGCCACGGCATGGTGGAGTCGTACACGAGAACCCTAGGAGGATTTCCCGACAGCTTCATGTCTTGTATCAACTCCGGTAAGCAGTTTTTGATGCTGCGTTCTACTCTTTCCATGTAATCATCGAGGTCTTGTAATGGGTCCTCGCCATCTTTGAAGCCATTTGGGATGGGGAAGACAGTGATTGAGTCAATCTCTGTTTTGTATGGCGGAGAGGGTTTGTCGGAGACGAGGACAAAAGTGGGCTTAAGACCCTTTGAAGCTAAGCGTTTGCAGAACTGGGACATTGGAGTTAGGTGGCCTTGTCCTGGGAAAGGCAAGACGATAACATGAGATCCTTGTCTCATTTTTCTTTTTTCGGTCTATCTCTTCTCTTTTGTTCTTACTTACTCTAGTTTGATGAGTGGATGTGTTTATATAGCCACAAGATTGGATCAGATGACTTTGTTTGACTACGGCTTTGGTGGGGCAATTTCTTGGACTAGAATCCAAAAAGGTAAAGGTTTCGTGGCGACCAAGATGTGTTGAACAGAGACCGAGGTTGATGATAATGCAACCCACCAATCTATGTTGAGATAATTATTGTATCTTATTAGCTTATCGTTAGCATGTGACACCACGAGTGTACAATTAATATATCTAATGTATCAAAAATTCGCAATTCATTTTGTCATCTTCCGTGAGAGAGACGCTGCATCTCAGCTATATACTACTGTGATGTCATTGCTTATGCAATCCATCTCACCCATCTGAAATCAAAGCTAATTAATTATAATAGCTTTTTAACTTCTTCTTCTTTTTGTTAACAAAACCTTAAACTTAACTAATTTATTTAAATATTAAAAACTTAACTGATAAACAATATATTTATGTCCGTCATTTTTCCGAATCTAAATTTTTAAAAGTTTAGTTCATTGTTTGGCACTGTTGCTGGGCTTTTGGAGATCCATTAGTTGGGCCTCCAATTCTATTAATGGGCCTAAAGATTCAAAGGTAAATCACGAACCCAATCTCCGAAAAAAAGAGAGAAACGACTTACTGCGGTTCAACGCCGTCCCACCTGAAAGTTGAAACCCCATCCATCCACGTGGTGCTCGCTTATTTGCGAATCATTTGTATCCTTCACCGCCAAGCCTCCTGAGCTCACTATAAATTAATTTTTCTATAATATAAAAGGAAAATAAAAGCTGGAATTTGACCCCTACCACCTATTTTTTCCTAACTTTTCCCGTCCAGTGGAAACTCGTGAAAAAAATTTTTTGGTTATTATCAAAATAGAAAAGAGGTCAAATCACTGATTTTTTTTTTCTTTTCAGACAATATTAACTTAATTTCTCTAACTCAAATTATTTTAAGTAAACTTACTGTCTAATATAATTAAACAATTAAATAATGTTAATATTAGTTATTATTTTTAAATCTTAATTAATTATCCTTTTTATATGTATCATTCTAATAAGCTTCTATCGTATTAGTTGGTCGGTATTGTTTTTTTGTTTTTCTCACCGGCTAATCGGTAAGATAATGTGATAAGAATGCAGATTGGATTCTATATAATTAACCGGTGAGGGACATAAAACAAAAAATATGGTGACAAGGATCACTAACTTTAGTCTGTGCCTCTGTGGTGCAATTCAAGATCAGCCATATATGTCTTTCAATCTTATATTTTCCCTCAAAATCAATCTAGAGTTATAAAATTAATTTTATGAATCATTCGTGGCCTTCATTTTTCCGCTTCTGCTGTTTTTTCTTTTCTTAGATTGCTTTTTCTTCACCCATTTGTCTTTATATCAGAATGTGGCGAATAATTTGTTCATACTCCCAGTTCAAACGGCGACGTTTGGTAGACGTTTTGTATGCAAATTTGCTACTTTCCGTGTCCTTTGATTTCTGTATTGTGATTTACGACGAAACCACTTGGCACCAAAGCTTCTCTCTCTCTCTCTCTCTCTCTCTCTCTCTCTCTCTCTCTCTCTCTCTCTCTCTCTCTCTCTCTCTCTCTCTCTCTCTCTCTCTCTCTCTCTCTCTCTCTCTCTCTCTCTCTCTCTCTCTCTCTCTCTCTCTCTCTCTCTCTCTCTCTCTCTCTCTCTCTCTCTCTCTCTCTCTCTCTCTCTCTCTCTCTCTCTCTCTCTCTCTCTCTCTCTTCTCTCTCTCCTTACGATTAATATAAATCCCTTTGCGAGCTCGTGATTGAAGATTAATGGTTGCGAACTTCACTTAGATACTGTATGATCAAAGAGATGATTCTTGTGCCGAATCTTGACTAAACCTCGGATTCTCACTTTCTGGGTAAGAATGAAAATGATTCTTCCTTTCTCCTTCTTCTCCTTGCTTACTGAAAACCTCGGTTTCTCATTTTTCTTCGTTCCACTTTCTGGGTTTGATTTCTTTCTTTTCATGACTGAGAATCTTTCCGTATAGTTTAATCTGTTGATCTGATTTCTTGGGTCACCAGAATGTTCTTGCTCTTTGTTCCTTTCATTTCTTGGTCTTGATAATCTCTGTTTCTGCCTCTAGATTGTCATTCATGTTGATAGCTAATTAATGATACTAATTACGAAGACCGAGTTTCTAAATCAAATTCACGTTTCGAGTTATTCCTGCGCGGGTCTCTGTTTGATCTTTTTGAATTAGAAATTAAAAAAAACATTGATTGCTGAAAAAGTTGCTAACTTTGTGTTCGATGGTTTGCTCAAGTAGGATTCTTGAAATAACTTTTGAATTTCTTCTTGCATAATGCATTTGATCTCAACAGATTGAGAACCGTTTCTTGCCTTTATCTCCTACTCACGTCCTCTCTTCCTCTCTGTAACAGAACCTGTTGTCAATTCGCGGGTTTGATTTGATGGCTTCTTCAGAAGTCCATACTTATTCAGTATCTACTGATCATGGCGATGATACATTCTCGCAAGCTGATGATGGTGATGTTGATTTGGCTCTGTTTCAATCTAATGCACCAACAACAATGTCTAGTACCAAGAACATTCCGAAACCTCCTCCTCTTCCATGTATAACATACCAGCGTTTTCAAGCTTCCAGAAGGAAACCTTCGAGCTTATCATGCCTTGTGCCCAAAGAAGCAGTAGAAACTTGGGATAAGCTTTTCACAGAAGCAATTGGAGCAGATACATATGTCGAAGTCGATAACAAAGCTCATTTTCCAGCCCATTCAAGTGTCCTGGTGAGTTCTGTTAAGATATTAATCTGGTTTTTAACTCATGTCAGAGAAACAATATGCAACCTCTAATTGGTCACTTACTCACGTGAAGGATATAACAAGGTTTTGTTTATTGCAGGCTGCAGCCTCACCTGTAATGGCAAGTATTCTAAATCAGTCAAGGGATAAGAAAGGAAACACATACCTCAAAATCCCCGGAGTGCCTTATGAAGCAGTCTACATTTTCATTCGGTTTCTGTACTCGTCCTGGTATGTCCTATGTCTTCAAATGGAATTGCTCCCCCACTGTTAGTTTCTCTTCTGAAGCATGCCTGATTTAAATTTTTGCAGCTACGAGGAGGAAGAAATGGAGAAGTTTGTGCTCCATTTGTTGGTTCTGTCACACTGCTACTCGGTCCCATCTCTTAAAAGAGTTTGTGTAGAGGTTCTCGAAGGATGGATTGACAAGGAGAATGTGATTGACGTGCTCCAATTGGCAAGAAACTGCGACGCCACGAGGATTTGCTTTGTATGTTTTTCGATAATCATCAAAGACTTCAAATCTATATCTTCAACAGAGGGATGGAGAGTGATGAAAAGGGCTAATCCTATGCTCGAACAAGAGCTTGTTGAGGCAGTCGTCGAAGCAGACACACGGAAAGAAGAAAGAGAGAGAAGACTCGAGGAGAGGAAAATGTATTTGGAACTTTATGAAGCCATGGAAGCTCTTGTCCACATATATAGAGAAGGTTGTGGGACAATTGGACCTCGTGATAAAGCCCTCAAAGGAAGTCAAGCCGTGTGTAAGTTCCCAGTGTGTAAAGGAGTTGAAGGTGCACTGCGACATTTCTTGGGATGCAAGTCTAGGGTTTCATGTCCTCATTGCAAACGGATGTGGCAGCTTCTTCAGCTTCACTCTTGTATCTGTGATGATTCTGATTCTTGCGAGGTCCCTCTTTGCCTGTAAGTTTCAAATGATTACAGATGACAGACACTTACTCCAATCTTAAAGATACAGATTGTAATCACTGTTTTCGAATCTTGTAGTAACTTCAAGGAGAAAATGAAGAAGCTTAGCAAAAAAGAAGAATCAAAGTGGCGATTGCTTGCAGAAAACGTTATTACAGCGAAGAACAGTCTTGGGCCATTCTCTTCACGTTCTTCTGGTGTGAAATAGGACAGGTTTTAGAGTCATAAAAGTGTAAATATACAAGGGAAAGTGATAACGACTATGTGCGCAGGGTAAAGTGTATATTGCGCACGAACAAGGCGCAAAATAGTGGGTTTTTTTTTGGGAACAAACATTGTATATACCTATTGGACATTCTTCCTCAGAAGCGAAAGCATATAATAATTCTGTTGATTGGTGTCATTGTGTGCTTAATTACGTATTTCTTGTTCCTTCTTCTTCTTGTGCTTTGCTGCAAATTTTGACAGCCGAGAAATCCAAGCCTGTCAAAATCTACATAGTTTCACAATATACAATGATATAGTTATCTTCAGTCAATACCAACATCAAAACGCGGTTGCCAAATTAGTAGTATTCTACGACAATTAAGAATCTAAAAGATAGATAAGATGAAAAGTTAGCATCGAGAAAACCTGCCTTGAGATATTCAATGATCAACTCAGGACTAAATATCTGCGTAACTTGAGGTTTGATTTGGACTCTTCAGACAGCTGGTTAAGAAGCTTAAAAGGGCTTTATGGTGCATCGAATTGCTCTTGAACAATATTAATAGTGCAGAAATATTTTTACTTTTTCATGAGAATCTCCTCGAAAATCTCTACGTCACAGTAGTTGACATCCTTTAATAATTCTATAGCAGCTCCAGACTGGCCAGTGAGTACAAGTGCTTGGAGAAGAGCTGTATCTCAACACAAAAGAGTTTTTACTCCAGAAGTAGTCATCAATCAGCTATTACCTTGTTGGACTTCTTAGAGTCTTTGCTTAGATCATATAACTGACAGCCAGTGGTGTTATCCACAGAAAATGTGGGATCTGAACCCATTGGTGAAGTATATATATAGACAAAGCAAAAGAGAGCATTAGTGTCTGAAAAACATTTGCAGACTTTAGAGCTGGACAAGTAAAAAGGATGGTCCGTAAGAGGACATCTAGGAGATGATAGACGACAAACCTGAGAGGGCATTGCACTTTGTACGTTTCACAATCTCAAATGCAGCAACAACATCCCTCCTATACAGACATGTTCGATTATTAGGAATCACATAAGTCAGAGGAAACTCAGTATAATTCGACAAGACCCATTTTGGTGCATTTTGTCAATGGTGATGTTATTAGCTTTTCCTAGAGATTATCGAATAACAGTAAGGGGTTCAAAGATTACCTTATCTGCAGCCAAATACATACACATAGATTGTTTCGCATCACACTCCTAAAGTAGTCATTGTTTCCAATTTACTGTGAAATGGAGATTGGATAGCTGAACTCAAAGACCCATATCAAGTCTTTGTCCACTTGTAGCTCCAATCACTCGATTCCTCTAAGAAATTTTCTTCTTTCGGAGCTCACTGTCCTCGCCGATCGAGTTTCGTCGAACATCTGTAAAGAGCAAAACGGCAACCGATAACAAGCGAAACGCAAATAACATATATATTGATGTTAATAATGTAGAGCTAGGAGCAATGCTACTATTTTCACTAAATTTCGACCAAAACGACAATTTAATAACAAACAAAACGAATGGGAAGAAAAACTAATAATAAAATAATAGTCCACTCGCGAAAAAATCGCGCATGACCGCGTTTTGGCAAAATACGAGCAAAATTCATAGTGGTTAGGCTGGAAGAGGCAAAACGTCATCGTTTCGACTCACTTTTGGAGGCAAAACGCCAACGTTTCGGTTTCGATCGATTGGAAAACTTTTTTTTTTTTTGTTTGGAAAATTGGAAAACTTTAGTTAGCATTTCACGATTAGACGGAGCTCGTTCCCGACAGTGATTAGAGACGGAGCTCGTTCCCGACAGTGATGAGGACCGGTGACGAGAGTAGTAACGTCGCCGTTAGCGGCGCCGATGACGATGCCGACACCGGTTCCGGCGAAAGCTTTGATGATGGCGGGATCATCATTTTCCTTCTCTTTTCGTCAAGATGCTGTGACAGACTCTCGTAACCTGAAAGTGAAGGACTTGTTTTCGGATAGATTACGGTTCTCTCTGTAATTTTTTTTTTGTTTTTCCTTGCCTTCAATTCCGTGTCCGTCGTGGGCGACAATATTATGAAGCTGCAATTTTTGCTTTTCCTTGTCTTCATATTGTGACAATATTATTGTCAATGTGAAGAATTCGAACATTTGAAAAACTGTAAATTCATAGGTTACTTGAGAGCTAGCTCCCAGTTTCGCGTGGATTTCAATTTTTGTAAGAAGCCAAATGGCTTTAATCTCTCCATTCGCCGGATGCTTCTGTTGAACTTCCTCTCCACTTTTTTGGCCTAAGGTTGGTTCTATATATTGCTCATTTCTAGAGATTTTCGAGTCCATGTTGTCGGATATGTAACTATACAAGGGTTCTTGCTTGCAGCAATGTTTCTATTACAAGGATTACATGAATCATCGATGTCTATATCTTTGTGTGATTAGAAAACATTTCTTGTCATTGACAAGGTTGAATGGTCAACTTTACAGAACGAGGCCAGGAAGTCTGTCCTAGTTGTTTACCCTGGTACTGGCACGTGTTTTTTTCGTTAAGATGAATAGTAATCTTTTACGGTGACAATGTGTAGTTTACATTGAGCATGTGTATGCAGCTATGAAGACTTTATCAGTTACCTGGATTTGGCATAAGAATAATCCCTTCAGCAACATCACTGTTTTCATGTTGCAAAGTTGAGTATGAGCAGAAACAACGTCCGTTCTGTAACTGCAGGTAATGCGGTTTGTTTCAATTATGTCCAAGTCTACTTAATAAATATATTGAGACATCGGTTTATTGATATTCTGATTTTTCTTGATGATAAAGATGGTGTCCCTCCGCCCACACCAACTTACAACTCAAGCATATTGGAGGACATGTTTCTGGAGGAAAAATTCTGAGCTTCTCAAGACAACTTTCTCTGAGTTGAAAGAGTTGGTTGGTGCTTTCATATTGCTGAAGGTATAGATCCTTATATATATATAGCATTGTTGTTACTCTGTGTCTATTGGAGTCCTAAACGTCTATGGTCGTGTGCAGATATGGGCTAGACAAAGGAGCTCGATATACGTCCATGGCTGCTTGAATGGATTTCTAATCTCTGTGATACTATCATACCTTGTAACACATGGCAAATTTAACAAGTCACTAAACGCATTGGACATGTTCAGGGTGACACTGGTTTTCATAGGTACTGTACGCTTCTACAGCTTAAGTCTTTTTGCTACGTTTGTCAGTCTTTGATTCTGCAACATGAATAATAACCAAAATTTGTTAATACTGTTTGGTACCTTTACCTGGAAAAACTCTTAACTCAATATAGCTCTCTTTATTCTGATATTTTTATCCAAGGCTGTGGTTTTCTTCGTGACTTGTTCATGTCATTTGTTTGTTGGTCAGCGCAGCTCCAAGATGAGGCGTCATCTTTTATCATGCTCGTCATGTCTAAACATTTTTCAAGTTGACTTTTAATGTTGATTTGACTTTGCTAGGTCACCGAGAGCAAGTAGCTAAATAACTTAACATCCCAATTTGTTTAACTTAGGTCTTCCAAGTTTACCTCCAGAATATTTCTTTTTCGGTCGTTAAATACAAATTTCATCACATCAAAAATCTCAAACCCATTCTTGGTTGTCTTTATTTTTGTTCTTCCTTTTTTTTTGTTTCAAAAACCAGACGAAAATGGAAAGGTTACGTTATCTCTATTTGATATATTCAGCAGCATTTGCATTGTGTCTCGCCGTTTCAGTTCTTTCCCAAGATCAATCAGGTTTTCTTAAACTGATTCTTACAATCTTGAAGAGTAGTTTTAAATGAAGAAAATCTAGTCCTATACTCATAACTTTATGGATGAATAAATGTCAAATCTCACAGGTTTCATAAGCATTGACTGTGGAATCTCAAGTGGATCATCATACACAGACGACACAACGGGCATAGTCTATGTCTCAGATTCATCCTTCGTCGAGACCGGAGTCTCCAAATCGGTCTCCTTCACAGCTCAAACACAGCTTCAAAACCTAAGGAGCTTCCCGGAAGGTTCTAGAAACTGCTATACACTGATCCCAAAACAGGGGAAAGGCAAGAAGTACCTCATACGAACCACTTTCATGTACGGTAATTACGACGGAGAAAACAACCCACCCGAATTTGATCTGTTTCTTGGAGGAAATATCTGGGCCAGTGTGTCGTTAGACGATACATCCATCGTTGTTACCAAAGAAGTTATTTACTTGAGCCAATCTGAGAAGATATTTGTCTGTTTGGGAAACAAAGCCAAAGGAACTCCATTTATATCAACATTAGAGCTTAGGTTTCTCGGAAACGACAATACGACGTATGACTCTCCAAACGGTGCTCTCTTATTCTCTAGACGCTGGGACTTTCGTTCTCTCATGGATCCACCTGTCAGGTAAACCTCTGTTTCTTGCTCTGTTTCTTGCTCTGTTTATTGCTCTGTTTCTGTTTCTGTAGCTCCAAGTTGACTATTTTTATCCATAATGGACTGAACTTGGACATATTTGGTTCGTGAAATCAGATATAGTGAAGATGTCTATGACCGAATCTGGAAACCTCACAATTTAAGCGACTTATATAGAGAGGTCAACACATCACTTCCAGTGATCTCAAACAATAATAGTTACAACATTTCAAGTTTGGTGATGAGCAGAGCACTGACTCACACAAACATAACAGAACCCATCAAAATGGTTTTGAACAACAGTGATCCGAATGTCAGGTACTTTGTTTACATGCATTTCGCTGAGGTCGAAGATCTCAGTCTCAGAACAAATGAGACCAGAGAGTTTGAAATCCGCATTAACGGAGTGAAAATGGCTGACGTCAGTCCAAAATACCTTCAAACAGACACTGTTTTTTTGAAGCCTGAGAGCCAAACGGATATTAAGTTTACGCTCGAGAGAACCCCTAAGTCTACGCTTCCCCCTATCATCAACGCTCTAGAGATCTACATCGGAAACAGTTTCTCCCAGTCTTTTACCAGCCAAGAGGATGGTATGTGCTAGTAAAATGACTAAGCAAAATTCAATCTTTTTTTTCTTTCTTAGCTTGATCAATGATACACTTTCAACTGAAACTTATAGGTGATGCGGTTTCTAGCATAAAGGTGAGTTATAAAGTGAAGAAAAACTGGCAAGGAGATCCTTGCTTACCTAATGAATACATTTGGGAAGGCCTTAATTGTAGCTATGATAGTCTCACTCCTCCCAGAATAACATCACTGTAAGTGTAATTTACATTGTTCATCTCTTCTTAATCAATGATCAGTCCATAGATTTTGTAAATTGATTGAAATAATTGTTGCTTGGACGCAGGAGCTTAGCCTCTAGCGGGTTAACGGGTCACATATCTCCCTCCTTCTCTAACCTCACAATGATCCAAGAGCTGTGAGTTCATCTAATTCAGGATTCTGATACTGATGCTTTTGTATATATATATTGGAAAAGAGTTCCTTGACTTGAACAAGACAATTCTGTGTTTCTTCTTAATCGGAAGAGACTTATCAAACAATGAGCTAACCGGAGACATTCCAGAGTTTCTGTCAAGACTGAAGTTTTTGAGGGTTTTGTAAGTCATAAACATATTGATATAACAAAAAATTAGATCGATAATGATGGACTCAAACTCCTACCAAAATATGCAGAAATCTGGAGAAAAACAAGCTAACGGGCTCGGTTCCGTCCGAGTTATTAGAAAGATCAAAGAGCGGATCGCTCTCGCTAAAGGTCGGAGAGAATCCAGGACTCTGTACCGAGATTTCTTGCGGAAAAAGTAACAAGAAAACATTTGTGACGGCGTCTGTCGCATCATTGGCAGCATTTTTCATTCTCCTATTATTGTCTGGTGTGTTTTGGAAGATCAAGAACCGCAGGAAAAAGTCAGGTAAAAATCTATCTATACACCTACCTTTTTACCGACCTAACTGTTTATCACATTACCAGTTGCTTAAACTTTCTTTTGCAAAGTAAACTCGGCGGTGGAAGAAGATGCAGACAATGGAACAAGAAACAGGCCAATGGCAGATTCGAACACATTATTGTTTACCTTTGCAGACGTTGTAAAGATGACAAATAATTTCGGTCGTGTCCTCGGTAAAGGAGGTTTTGGAACAGTTTACCATGGCTACTATAACAACCTTCAAGTTGCTGTTAAACTTTTATCAGAAACATCAGCTCAAGGATTCAAAGAGTTTCGCTCTGAGGTAATGTAGAATTTCAGATATTGATTCCAGAAAGTTTTTGCCAAACACTTCCTCCAAGATCATAACCACCTACAATATATATGCATTTGTATAGGTTGAAGTTCTTGTGAGGGTTCATCACGTAAACCTCACTGCGCTGATTGGTTATTTCCATGAAGCTGATAAAATGGGATTGATCTATGAGTTCATGGCTAATGGCAACATGGCGGATCATCTCTGTGGAAAGTATGGTCATACATTGACCTGGACACAGAGACTTCAGATTGCACTTGATGCAGCACAAGGTATGAACAAAATATTCGATCTTTGTTGCTTTTCTTTTGTAGTTAATCAGAAAGTTTAAACCTTCAACGATAAATCTCTATGAAGGGCTTGAGTATCTTCACTGGGGATGCAAACCTGCGATAGTTCACAGAGATGTGAAGACTTCGAACATATTGTTGAACGAAAAAAACAGAGCAAAGCTTGCGGATTTTGGACTCTCGAGGAGTATTCAGAGAGAGAGTCGCTCTCACGTATCCACTCTAGTCGCTGGGACTCCCGGATATCTCGATCCACTGTCAGTTTTCTCTCTTATCTCTATGACCAATATTTGAATATTCTTTTGTGATTGTGATCTGTTTTCTTAAAAAAATGTGTAGATGCTTTGAGACAAATGGGTTAAACGAGAAGAGTGACATTTACAGCTTTGGAGTTGTTCTATTGGAGATGATTACGGGAAAAACTGTTATCAGTGAGTCACAAACGAAGCGTGTTCATGTGAGTGATTGGGTGATATCTATCTTGAAGTCTACTAATGATGTGAGCAACGTGATAGATTCCAAAATGTCGAAAGATTTTGAATCAAATTCTGTTTGGAAAATTGTGGAGCTCGCTTTGGCATCTGTTTCGCAAAACGTCTCTGAGAGGCCAAACATGCAACAGATTGTTAGAGGACTGAAGGAGTGTCTTCAAAGAGAAGAGAGTTAACAAGGATTATTCATGTAACAACACAAGGTTTTAGAAGTGAAGCGGTTGGAATCAAAAGATGTTGGTTTATTTTTGTTTCGTTTATTTTTTGATTGGTACTTGGCAGCTTGGTATGTAACTTATTAAAATACATGTTTGAAAAAAAATCAGTCTTATATTACAGTTTTAGAAGCCCATATACTTTGCTACAGTTCAAAAGCTCAAATGAAAGTTGAATTTGGATTTTGAGATTGAATTGGCTCAAAGAAAAAACGACCAAGAAAATAAATGAAGTAGAAAAACTAGTACCTAATCTGGTGGTGGCCATAAGAAGAGAGAAAAAAAAAAGAAAGACGAGAGGATATTGACAAAGAAGACAAAGACGACCAAAACCGCGTGGGGCCAACGTACCTTTTGAAGAAGAAAAACGCTGATACCTTGGACTTTTGCGACGCACGGTCTGTGCCCATGTCCCCACACAAATCTTCTATTTAACTCACGCGATCGTTTCCTCCGCGACTGCGTTTCAAAACACGTTTCTTCTAACCGCCCCCACGTGAATGACTCAGAGCGCGAGTTTGCAGTTTATGCACACGCGCGCGTCTCCTCACCATCTGAGTCTCTGTGAGTTGACGTCAGACAAATTTAATCTTGTCTTACTTGTCCATCAGTTAATGTATTGTAAACATGTGTATCATAGTATTTATTCCCTATTTATTAATTGTAAAAGTTAGAGAATACTTGTATTTGTTGAGAATTGATGTTTTCAATTGCATTGTGAAATAGATTGATTGATTGATATATGTTTATCTTGAAATATTAGCTACTCAGAGAATTATTCTGGCCTCTGAGTAGAGTCCGATGCGTTAACCTCTCCATAACTAGTTGATATTTTTGTTACTTTCAAAGAGAATAGAACAAAATTCAAAGAAAAAGAGAAAGCAAAAAAAGTGAGAAAGTGGAAAGATTGATGGGTGCAGAGAGTTGGTCAAATATGTTGACAAAATAAATAACCTTCCAAATGTCACTATCAAATAAAGAAAAAAATAGTTCTACTTCTATGTACAATAATAATAAATTATAATGAGTAATGTTGAAAGTATTTAAAGCGACTTCTACCTGGGACTGGTATAACTACGAGGACCTCTCTACATCTCTCCATGTGTTGCATAATAGCTGTCGAATTATGATTAACACAATAGTACTATATCAAATGCTTCCTTTTTTTTTCTTTTTGGATGAACAAATATCAAATGGTCGCCACGAGCAGTATTCATTAGGAATCTTATGTTATGTAGTGTTCATATGTGGTGTAGTAATGTAGTTAGTATAGATAAAAATTGAATAAGGTAAACAAGCAAAGAAAGAAGTATTTCTTGAAACAAAATGCAATTAGTCTGAACACTAAAGACTCTAAAAAATTAGGAATTAGGAATTTAATAAAACTAGCTTGTTTGGAATTACCTATATTATCCAACGGCACTGGTTTGGAGTTGAGAGTTATGGCGATAAACTAACTTGCTTTAGTTTCCAGTTCAACAAAATCACTAAGCACCACAAGTTTGAATTGTCATGGTAATCTAAAAAAACCTATATGATATAGAAATATGTATATAACAGTTAAGCTAGATGTCTCTGGACCATCTGCGTAGCATCTAGAGATTTCTGTATGAAGATAAAATTAAAGAGGCATGAAGTAGCTCTTACTTCGAATAATCTGAACAAATTTTGTAGCATGTGTATAATCTAAAGAAAAATATATTTGTAACCTTTACATGGGTGGTAAAAAAATGTTTATTGTCGATAAAAATGAAAACTACAACAGATGTTAGTCCCAAGAAATTTTTGAAATTGATGGATAGTTAAATGACATTACTTCACCCAAAAAAAGTCGAGAAGAAAAAGACGTATAAAAAGCAGTTCCCTTTCTATTTGCTTTCGTTTGGTTTTAGCATCCACAGACACAGTTTCTTCTTCCTTTTTTCTTTTTGGTTTTAGACAGTTTCTTCTTATTGTCCCTCTCTTTCTCTCCTTTTCTCACGCCGAGATTTCTGCGTCTGCTCTTATTTCTCACAACCTTTAAAGAAACGACGCCATTTTCACTCAGCCTGAGCTCTTCACCATGACATGATTTCGCGTTACAGCACGATCTTGGACGCCGTCTAAGTGTCAAACAAAAGGAAAAGACTGATGTATATACGGGTTTGGAGTTTTGCCTTTTAGACTGAGAAAACTCAAGAGAGAGAGAGAGAGAGAGAGAGAGAAACATTTATGTGTCTTATCGGGTTTTGTGTTGTCAGAAGCTGAAGGACAAAAAAAAACAATTATTTTTAGGGTTTAGACGAAGAAAACTGGGAGCTTTGAGAAGTTGTGGGTTGCGGCTTCTTAAAGAACAAAGCTTTTTCTTAGATTCTTCTGCCAATTTGTGAGTCTATCTCTCTCCATAAGCTCTGTTTCTTTCTTCTTCTCCTCTGTTTTTTCTCCATTTTTGGCTTAATTAACATACTTCTCGTATATTTAGTTCTCTCTCTCTCCTCTTCTTGTTGCTAATTTCCAGTTGGATTAGCTTTTGATTTCGTTACCATCTTTGATAATGTAAACAGTTTTTACTCGTAGAGTTTTGATTGTAATGGAATAAGTTCATTTATAGTTTAAAGTTAAATCAACAATTCTCATCTGATCCGTGGAGGATTCTGTGTGTTTTTTCCTGTTTTTAGGGACGCAAGTGATTCACGCATATGAGATGTTATTGTCAGTTTATGAGTACATAAAAATAATTTAAGCAAGTAATGATAAGATACTTTGCTTGAGCTTATAATTAATTGTGCTTACAAATCCTTAAAATAATGCTTAAGCTGATGTGAACTCAAGGCCCTAGTCTCTGACCACAAATCCTTGCCTAAATCTTTGACCATACCTTTGTCTTGGCTTAATATTCTAATCCATATCCCGTCTCTCAATGCATTGGTTGGTCCAGAACAAGATCCTCATTCATAGATCTTGTAATCTTTGTGGTCTGTAATTTGCATTAGGATGGTAACCTCGTACCTCATGTGAAATGTCTTGTAGTATATAATTCTGGTCATTATGGGTTGATGATCTTTATCATGTCTTGATGTTTTCTCTCTGTTTTTCTCATTGAAAATTTGAAAAAGGAATGGAATTCTCTAGATACGCCGGAATGATGATGGAGAATAAGCGGAATGTTTGCTCTCTCGAAGAAAGCAGCATCAAACGCCATAAGTCCGATCTCTCTTTCAATTCCAAGGTCTTGCTTAACCTAGTTTTCATGGATTTCTCGGTCGAGTTATTCTTTCAGTCTTTGGTTCAACAGACCAAAGAGTGCAGAGATAGCGAACCGGCATGGTATTTGATCCTTCCATCTTTGGTTTCTTAATGGTAATAAAAACAGGAGAGGAAGGACAAAGTTGGAGAACGTATTTCAGCTCTTCAACAGATAGTTTCCCCTTATGGGAAGGTAACACTTTTCTGTTAAGCAAATCAAGAGAATTTATCTCTCCACGCATACTTATCTCTAATCTTCTTTGACTCCATGCCACAGACCGACACTGCATCAGTGCTTCTAGACGCGATGCACTACATAGAGTTCCTTCACGAACAAGTGAAGGTCTGCTCTTCATCAGTTCAATACCATTACCAAGCATGATTCTTTCATTTCATCAACATCTGAGTTTTCATATTCTTTTTAAACAGGTGCTAAGCGCTCCGTATCTGCAAACAATGTCCGCCGCTACGCAGGTGAGCATGAATCTTGACCCCATTTATACTTGGTCCACTATTTCTGTTCTGCATATGACAGATTTGCACTTGGAACTTGAATATCTTGCAAGGAATGATTTTCTCGTCTTTATAACCAGGTGGAGCTGGAGCAGTCCAGCCTGAGAAACAGAGGATTATGTCTCGTTCCGATGGAGTATACAGTAGGAGTTGCTCAAAGCAACGGGGCTGATATATGGGCTCCCGTGAAGACTCCTCCATCTCCAGCGTTGAATGTCATGTCTCAATCACCCTTTAGATGACCGATTCGACTCTTCACAACCTACTAAGATCTTTGTCTTCTGCCTAAAGAAGATGACCAATTGTTATTTATTATGATGTTCCCTCTGTAACATATACAGACAGAGAGACACATGAAGATGTTTTAAAGACAACGTTGGCAATGTCTGTTATTATTTGACTGCTTAATGCATCCCCTTACTTGGACTTATGTAATTTTCCCAATTAAAGACAAATTGATTCTATTGCAGAGTAATCTTTATGCGAAAAAATTGCCTAATATCTAATATGTTCTGCTCTTCCCAAAACTATCCTATGCATCTTTCTAGATCTAAAGTAGATCTAAAGATCCAAGGCAAGCTTTAATTCGCTGTTGAGGGAAAGATCATAACACAAGAACGGTGACGGATTTTGCTTGTAATTATACCAAACAGCTAAGCACAAAAATTCACATTAACCTTTCACAAGGACATTGGATAGAAGACTTAACACTGTGATTGCAAAGGTTCAGAACATACAAACCAAATAGCTAGGAGAAAGTAAAGATAAGTCGATCACAATGAGTTTTTAACTATTAGATCCCACTGGTTTGGCCTAGGTGGCCCCTAAAGAGTGATCACAGTGATTGATTACACTAACTTGCTGAGGTAGGCTTGACCTTTTCCCGCATATACTGCAGTAGATGTTCGCGTTTCCAGTTGTCGATTCTGCAAAAGAAAGCAAATCAAGAAACAAACAGAACACTTACAGAGTTGTAGGAATGAAGCGCTTCTGCTAAACGTGGACGAGATATCAAACACATGATTACCTTATTGTTTCCTTATGTTCACCATCTTCATCAAGCATGATCAACTTGGGTGGTGAGTTGAAAATGTACTGAACTTTTACGCTAGGGAACTTTTCTTTCTCTTCTTCAATAAAACCAACAATTTCAGGATAGAAAACTAGCTTCCTCATACACACCTCTAATATAGCGCCTGAATAGGTAACCTGCAATCGACCCCCAAAAAAAAAAAAAAATGTAAACGAGTCATCACTCTCCTTCTCTTTCATTCAATGAATGTTGCAGAAGATGTTTCTGTCTCCATCTAATCAGTTTCAAAAGCCTACCTTACTCATGGAATCCTCAGAATCATCAGCGCAACATTTCAAGCAGTCAGATACCAACTCTGCGAATACAATATGATAACCCCCAAAGAGAATGATTTAGCTCATAAATCACAAAACTTTAGACAATTTCACTCTTCTTAGTTCTTCCAGATATTACTACTATTGGTTTCTTCAATTACTGGAACCATCTTAACCAATTCCAATTCACCAATTACATTGCAGATCGTAAATCCCGAATCTTTTCTAGGGGAGAAGCAAAACTGCGATACTCAAATCAAGCAGGCATAGAGATCCTATGAGGAAACGAACCTTGGTCCTTGACGTAATCAGAAAGTGAGTGGCAATCAGAGCAGAGAGCAAGACCGGTAAAGCCTAGATCTTCGCATTCTTTAGTGCTCAGCTGCTCTTTTGCTGAGATCGACGATGTCAACATCAAAACCATCACCAACATTTTCGCTGATAATACAACCATCGTCGACCACGCTCGAGCCATCTCCCTCTTTCTCATCAACAGATCCCAAGTCTTCGCAGATGCGACGAAGCGACTCTAATGTTGATTCCGATCCGGTTAATTCCGGTTTATATGATCCGAATAATGCAATTTGGTTTAGTTGACATCATCTAAAAAACCGGAAAAGTCTCGACCGACCGACGTGAGAAGTATTTTTTGTTAAAGAGACAATGACAACGGCTTGCGAGCTCGCTTCTAAACCCCCTAAAACCCTAAAATCAAAATTACCTTTCGAGAGAGACGATGGATCACATAGCAGCGGCGGAAGAGCAAATTGTATCGGAGAGGATCAGAAGAAAACTCGAAGAAGTTAATGCATCTGCTCAATCGCAGCTCTCTCCTATTCAGGATCATATCAATTTCACCCTTCAGGTATATACATACATACATTTTTGACAATCAGATACATACATACATTTTTGACAATCAGATATGTTTGTATAGCAATCCTGGTTCTCGTGCTTATAATTAAGTGTATGTTGCGTATGTGTTTGTCTGTTCATCGCCTCTTTATTTTGGGTTGGATGAACAGTTTACCAATTTTGAGAAGACAGCCAAAAAGCCGAAATTTCCCTTCAATGGAAACGAATTAATAACAAAAAGAGGCTACTTTTAATGGTTAATTCAGGCATTCATTTGTTTTAGTGAAGATCTCTTGTGGTGAATCTCTTTTCTATTCAAGTTTTTAGTAAGTTTACTGAGCTATGTCTGCTGCCGGATATGAAATTTTGATACAATCTTAGTTTAAAAATCGATTTCTTTATATATGAAAATTTGGTCTCTAAGGTTATTTGATGAGAAGATGCGTCTTCTTTTAGTTGTGTTAAGTACCTGGAAACTTAAAACTTTAAAAGTTTGATTTTGTCTCTACAACCATAGCTCAAGTTTTATGAAAGTGTGTTGTTTTTCATATTATAAATGTTTAAAAACACGAACTAGTTATTTTCAGCTTCACTTAAGCTGACGTTCGTTTCAATAATGATCGATTGCAGCAAGCTTATTTCAAATGTGCATACGAGTGCTTTGACAGAAGAAGGACGCAGGAGGAGATAGCTAACTGTGTTGAGCATTGCAGTGTTCCAGTTGTCAAATCTCAACAGTATTTTGAAAGCGAAATGGCTCAGTTTCAGGTACCATATGATTACTATAATTCACAAGGCACGCTTTTTTTGTTATAATATATATGTACTAAAACTGCAATTGTAATTCGATTCCAGGAAAGGATGAACAGATCTCTCATGGTCTGTCAAGACAAATTCGAGGCTTCAAAGCTCCATAAGAACAGGGTTGATGCCGCAAAAGATATGGAGGGTTGCGTGAACCAATCCATCCAGGATAATCTCGATACATTACCTCATCTCGTTCAGAGAATGAAGACAGCCTTCTCCATTCGCGACTAAGAATTAAGCTCTTAGAAGATAAGAGCATGTTTTACTTTGGTGTCTGGGATCATAATACCTTTCATTATCACTCAATAGAACAGTTTAAGTATACTAGACCAAATGCTAAACCTTTTACTTTGTAATGGTTCTTCTCTTTGTAGTTAAGATTTGAAGAAAATATTTATTTATTCTGTTATTTGGTGATTGTTGGAGTCGAGTTTCTGTCCTCAGGATTGCAGAGGAGCAAATTGCTTAGAAGAACAAAGGGAGAAAATAATTTTGAACCGAACCAAATCGGATTCGATTTCATCCGGCTTGAGTTTTCGGTTTTCTAAGTCCAAATTCGGGTTTCGCTAGAGATAAAAATAAATTTAAAAAATAATACATCACCACCATCACTCTATCGAATGGGTCTCCTTCCCGCCGTCGGATTTCCTTCGCCGGCGATACCACAACGATTACCGTTTGTCACCCGCGAAAATCAAGCCAATCCAAAGATACAGAAACTTAATCAATCTACCTCCGAAACCACTGTTTCATGGACTTCACGCATCACTCTCCTCTCACGGAATGGTCGATTAGCCGATGCAGCGAAGGAATTCTCTGATATGAGACTCGCCGGCGTCGAGCCTAACCACATTACTTTCATCGCTCTACTATCTGGGTGTGGCGATTTTCCCTCCGGAAGTGAAGCCTTGGGAGATTTGCTTCATGGGTATGCTTGTAAACTTGGTCTCGATAGAAACCATGTCATGGTTGGCACCGCAATTCTCGGCATGTACTCCAAACGCGGCCGTTTTCGGAAGGCTAGACTAGTTTTCGATTACATGGAAGACAAAAATTCGGTTACTTGGAATACAATGATCGATGGGTACATGAGGAATGGTCAAGTCTATGACGCTGTTAAGATGTTCGACGAAATGCCTGACCGAGACTTGATTTCTTGGACAGCTATGATGAATGGGTTTGTGAAGAAAGGTTTTCACGAGGAAGCTTTGGCATGGTTCCGTGAGATGCAGATCTCTGGAGTAGAACCAGATTACGTTGCCATTATTGCTGCTCTTGCCGCTTGCACAAACCTTGGTGCTCTCTCGTTCGGATTATGGGTACATCGCTATGTCATGAGTCATGATTTCAAGAACAATGTGAGAGTGAGTAATTCACTGATTGATCTGTATTGTCGATGCGGGTGTGTCGAGTTTGCTCGACAAGTTTTTGACAAAATGGAGAAACGGACCGTAGTTTCATGGAACTCAGTTATCGTTGGTTTCGCTGCTAATGGGAATGCAGATGAATCTCTGGTCTACTTCAGAAAAATGCAAGAAGAAGGGTTTAAGCCTGATGCGGTCACTTTCACCGGGGCGTTAACAGCTTGTAGCCATGTAGGTCTAGTTGAAGAAGGTCTTCGATATTTCCAGACTATGAAAAGGGATTACAGAATCTCACCTCGAATTGAACATTATGGATGCTTAGTGGATTTGTATAGTCGAGCTGGGAGATTGGAAGATGCTTTGAAGGTGGTACAGAGTATGCCGATGAAGCCAAATGAAGTTGTGATTGGCTCCTTGCTGGCAGCCTGCAGGACTAATGGGAACAATGCCGAGTTAGCAGAGAGGATGATGAAGCATCTTAGTGAGCTTAACGTGAAAAGCCATTCAAATTATGTGATTCTCTCGAACATGTACGCGGCTGATGGAAAATGGGAAGGAGCAAGTAAGATGAGAGGGGAGATGAAGGGTCTTGGCCTAAAGAAGCAGCCTGGGTTTAGTTCAATAGAGATTGATGATTGCAAGCATGTGTTCATGGCCGGTGACAGTGCCCATGTCGAGACAGCTTCAATCCGTGAGGTCCTCAAGCTATTACAAGGGTGTGTGGTTGAAACCCCTGCTGGTGATCTCCTCGATGGTTGAAATCCAGGGACTTTCACATCCCTAATTTTGTTCTAGTCAGAACTGGCGAAAAGGAGAGTGTGTGGTGATTATAGAGAGGGCTACGATGAGACTGAAAAGTATTTGTCCGTTGCTTTAAGTAAGTTTGAACATTGGTAAGGAACCAGAAGGGTCTCTCAGAAAAAAGTCCAACAAATTAGAAATAGCACTGTAAAAGGTAATATCTAGTCTTTCCCATGAGTAAAAGATCTAGAGGCAGAGAATGAACCCAAAGTGAATGGAGACTAGACATTGAAAGTTCAGGAAGGATGACAAGCTTCTTGCAGCATACTTTCGCTAAGCTATGGGTAATGATAAGAGCTTCAGACATATTTCTAACATTTTTTTATTTAATGATGACAATGATATTAATAATGTGGGATAAAAATCTCTCACAATTACATGTAAATCTCAATGTGAAATAGCAAACAGAGTTTGAAAAAGGTGAGCTATTTCCAATCCAAGGAAATCACTTAAGCTTCTATCTTCGGAATCTTTGAGCCAAGTCTGGGTGGTGGTACTATTTTAGGACAAAGATAAAAGCCAATGGATGAGAGACCAGAATGATGATAAGAACCATGAAAACCACCAAATTGATAGGACTTTCCAAGATTGTAGGCAAAAGATTGCGGGAAACTAATCTGGTGGGTTACACCAAATGGACCATACTCCTGGATGTTGGTAGTGAAAGTGATGACCTTAATGTTATCAGAGTATAGACCGTTGATTCCAGTTATGTACTCAGCCGGATGGTTCAACTCGATCTGCAGAGTGTTTGCAATTCATTTTTGTAGAATCCAGAGGAGTGAAAAAAAAAAAACAGTGAAACATACGGTGTGAAACTTGCTTGCATTGAAATCAGAACCGTATCGATCCGATAACACATATTTCCCGTTTTCCACGTATTGAAACTGGATCGACATTATCCCGCCACCTCCTACTGATACAAAAATCTGGGAGATCTCGCTGCAACCTCGAAGATCAAAAGATTGAGAATCGCGACAACTCCTTCCTGCTGGACCAACTTTGATCAACCTGTATCATAAAAACGACACTGTGAGCTCAGGCAACTTCGTACAAATCAGCTTATCAGGAGGAGGCTAATAGAGAAGAGAAGGAAGACAATGAACAAAACCTGACTTCAGAAGTCATCTCTTTATTAGTTGTTATTTGAGGAGTTTGGCGCTTCTGTAAAAATTTCAGGAATGTCCAAAAAGAGAGGAAGAGTGATGAATATATAGAGTAGATCATAAAAGTATGGGCCGTTGATTTTTGACCATTGTTAAGGAGGAATCGCAATGGTCCACTCAAATCAAACGTTTTCCGAGATGTGCTTTGTAAATACCACCTCTCTTTATCTTTAATACAGCTATAGATGCTACTGCATTAAATAATATGGCAATCCAAGCAACACAAGATTGTATTGCACAATAAAAGGTGTAGATGATGATCGTTGATATCTAAAGTAAGAATAGATAAAAGCCAGTTTATTCATAGAAGCATTTGAGTATATATAGTACTATACAAACACGTTCAACCCAAGACAATTTTGGACTCCATTTCCTCTGCTTTGCTCGTATCGATTTTAGGCTGAACTGTTTTAGGCCTGAGATAAACACCGATGTACTGTAGTCCCGAGGCATCGTAAGTCCCATGGAAACCGCCGAACTGAGGAGATTTCCCGAGTTTAAACGCAAATTTTTCGTAGCCCGAACCCGAGGTGCCAAAAGGACCATACACACTAGTGTTGGTAGTGAATGTGAGAGACCTTATGTGAGGATTGCTAGCTTCGTACTTGTAATACTCTCCGCTTATCCCAGTTATGTACTCGTGCGGATAGTTCAGCTCTATCTGCTGGGTCCCAAATCATATGTTTATTTATAAACTTATTATAATTAACCATGTCCATGGATCAAGATGTACATACTATTTAACAACCAAATATTTTTCTATTCTATTTCTAAGTACTTCATTTCTTAAAACAAAAATTAGACTTTTAATAACTCCATATGTCTGTACCAAAAATATGATATTTTGAATTCTCTAAATTTTTAAACAATAATTTTTTATAAAAAAATGCGCAAAAATATAATTCTGTTCCCTCAACAAAATTCTTTTAAATAAAATAATGAGCTCTTAACGTAGAAGCCACAATGCAAAATGTTTCATATTGGATGTCCGACCATGGTCTATTGTAAATTGTAGATTTTGTGACGAGGGAGAAAAATAAGAGTCAAGGATTAGACGACTTACGACGTCAAACATGTTACCGGAAAATGGACCGTGACGGTCGGATAAAACGAGTTTTTCGTCGATCACGTACTGGAATTGGATAGACATAATTCCTGAGACACCGTGAGATAGAAATATCTGAGAGAGGATGCCACTGTGACTTCCTTCGTCCCAATTTACAATTGTTGTGCTTCTAGCATCATGCTTCCCTACCGGTCCTATCTTCATCTTTCCTTCCATTCCTTTACGATCAAAACTCTAAGCTTTCGATTGGTTTATACACAACAAACAAATATACATATATACTACATATAGAGATTGAAGCCTTAGATTGGAATATTCCTTTACCAAATGCTAAAAATAACGATGAAATGATTCTTTGTAGCCTTTCATTAGATTTTAGGAGATAAAACTATCGATGACATTTGAAAATGCATGTAGGTTTGTTCATTGTTACTTGTTAGACATGTCTATCAAGTCAACTAATAATTGCAATACCTGATATACTCCAAATCGGTTTTGCTGCTCGACTTTGTTTTTAAGAATTTTCGTTGGTATAACTTTGTAGGGTAAATTTTTTTTATATGGACGCTTTGGATTGGAATATTCGTTTCCAGTCATGCATAACTTCATGTAACAAGCTATTCCTTTCTTTTATTTGCTTTTGAAGCAATCGCTATATTAAACTTTGAATCATAATACTGTTTTTCATATCATAATATGGTCGAAGATTAGACTTATATACAAAAAAAAAAATATCACTTTTGATGGAATATTTTTCAATTGTCTAATTTCCACCTTTCAAACAAGTTACTTTGGAGCTCAATTTTCTATTCAAACGAATTTCAATTTTGACAAATCATTCTGTTATAGTACTCTGCTACTCGCTATCAAAAATTGACGAAAACTTGACCCAAAAATTGCCGGAGTAACATACTTGGAATATCTAAGAACAAGTCCAATAGTAAATCCAAGGGGTTCATCAGATATTAAATTTTTTTTTTTAGTTCAAAAATTTAAAAAAAAAACTTCGCCCAATGACGACAATCGATATTTCTCATATAAACATTATTTCTTTTTTTTTAAAATTAAAATTGCCTATAAACTTGAGCCGAACTGTTTATCCAATCCTTTAATAGACATGCTCCATGCTCTAACACATGTGTAAATAAAGCATACTGTAAGGATTTTACACGTGATTATAATAAATAAATATTCTTACTCCACAATAAACGAATATTGGCTTTGAAGAAAGACATTTTGTGTAAATTTATCTGGGGTAAATTATCTTTGGAGGAAAAAAAAATTACTAAACGATTATTTTCGTAAAGTCAAAATCATCGCTATAAGAATTAACAAGCAGCAAGGCATTGTAAAGAAAGAAGCGGTTGTCTTCGGAAGTCGGCAGAGAATCGGCAGTGAATCGGCAGATCCTCGCGTCTCTTTGCATTCGCCTTCTACGGTAACTCTCTGTCTTTTCTCCCTTTTCCATCTTTGCTTTGATTTCGAGATTCGCGCTCGAAGATTCCCTATGGGATCGTTTTTATCTTTTGGAAAATTTCCGTCTTTTACACAAGAAAAGGTTACAAATATGCAAATTTCTGCTGCTACTTACACTGAAGAGGGAAGATATTCCCACATGGGATATCTCTAGTCCTTCCTAGATCCAACATTTGCTTTGCTGAAATTTTTCTTTTTCTCCATTGCAAAATTGATCGGTTATGGGTGAGAATGGGATGATCTTGGTCTTCTTTAGCTTACCCAGGCTGGAGGGGTTTTACTCTTTGAAGATTTATTATATAGGCTGATAAGGGTTTTCTGGAAATTCGGTTTTGGTTTTGATCATTTCTTCTTTTGCTTGCTTTTAGAGGCTGCCGATTAAGAGACAGAACACACTGAAGTTAGCAATTTGTTTATGGTTTATAGTTCTCAGATTCAATGATTAATCCTCTAGACAAGAAGAAGATTGAAGCTTTTAATATCTTCTATCTCTCTGCCTTGAGAATCACTGGTCAATTTATTATGCTATTGAAAAGATTTAGTTGTTTCAGAATGTTATGCAGTAGAATATGTTTTTATGTGTGGCGTTGGAGAAATCAAAAACTATACTGCTCACTTAAGGTTATTGAAGTTACTGTGAGAATTTGGACATGTTTCTAGATATAGCTTGAAAATTTATGATTACAGTGGTGTTACTAGCTTCTTCTCTATGCCATCTCTGAGGCTTTGACATATTGTTGACAGTTTTGTTTCCTTTTGTTATCTGCATCTTTTGAAGCTTCTTATAAGCTCTGATTATCACCGCAAAAGTGTTTTTTTATTCAAGCTTATGCTTAATGGTACCTTTTTCCTCTGGCAAACAGATCTCAAACTATAGTTACCAAGATGGCGTACGAACTAACTGAGCAAAAAAGTAATATTTTCGTCACATATATGCTTTTGCAGCCATTGTGTATACCTTCATTTTTGTTGTCTTATGGCATCCATTTCTTGAATTTTTGCAGAAGTTGGGTTAGGCCTCATTGGTTTTGGTTTATCCTTTACGTTTCTTGGTGTCATCTTGTATTTCGACAGAGGTTTGCTCGCGCTAGGAAACGTGGGAATTTCCTTTCTATCTCAAACCTTTTTGGAACCATTCCAACATCAGTCTAAAAATGGATCCAACATTTGAATCTCATTTGGCTTTGTGTTGTGTTCAGTTATTTTGGTTGATAGGTGTTGGTCTTTTACTTGGTTGGCAGTCAACTTGGAGACTATTTACCAACATTAATAACTTGAGGGTACGCATAGAACTACTGCTAATCTCTGTTCTAAGTGTTTCTCTCGATGAACCTTTTGTAGAGACATATCAATTTGTTTTTTTTTCCCCACAGGGCACCATCTGTTTTGTCCTCGGAATCTTTCTTATATTTGTACGTTGGCCAATAATCGGAATTATCTTGGAGATATATGGTTGCATTGTCCTATTCGGGTGAGAGCTTTTGTTTCTGCCGCACTTAGTCTCTTATCGATTTTTTGTACAATTTTGCTTTTACAATTGAAATATCAAGGCAGTCTGAAATATGAGAAACCAGCGGATTTCTTGCTTAAAGAATCTGCCTGTTACTGCGTCTAACTAAGTGTGACATGTACTGTCATTGCAGCGGATTTTGGTCAACGGTGAAGGTATTCCTGTCAAATATTCCTTTTGTTGGATGGATAATACAGTATCCTCTCATGGTAAGTAATCCTCAACAACACTTCCATTGTCCTCTAATGCTCTTTCCTTTTGCTTTCCGAACATTCTAAGCTTACTGTCACCGATTTGACTGTTCTTCAACCACATCCCGTCTGGCCCTTGTGGTGTTAGCTAAGTTAGCCTCTCTCGGGAATGGATAGACCCAACAGACTTGTCATGAAGTGTAGTGTGCATAGGATGTTGAGATCAGCAAAAACTGATATTGAGCTATGAACTCTTAAGGATTTTCGATTTTATTTGCTTAAAGCTTATGTCTTTTGGTTTGGAATGATATTTCTCTGCAGGCTCTTGAGCAACTTATACGAGGTTCTCGTTGAAAAGATCCATCTCAATCTATGCCTCTTCACTCTTCAACCTCTTCACCACATCAAAATGCAAAAGCTTCTCTAGAATTCCAATCTAATATCTCTTCACTCTTTAACCACTGCTAGCTTCTTCTTTTTTTCTTTCTTTCTTTTAGAAATAGAATTAAATGGTTTTGCTTTCTTATTCTTTTTGGGACATGACAGAGACTTTGCTCTGTTTCACATATATTTTTTTTATGTGAAATTTTTTACATACCCAGAAAGATGTAGTTTATCCTTTGAAAATTGTTCTATGTTATCGTTTAACAAAAATTATTTGGAACTATGTATATAACTCCAATCTTGGGCCAACTCACAATCTTCATCATGTAACGTGGGAATAATTATAACGTATTATCTGTTTCAAGGAATAATATAGAGATAAAGTATTCATTCGGTTACAAGGCAACGATATTATAATGAATTTTTGAATAAAGTGTTCTGTGTTCTCTTTATTTATTTTATTTCGTGCGGACATTAGTGTGTCCAAATGTGTCAGCCGAAGATCAAAGATTGTTTTTCTTCCATTTAAGGATCAGAAAAAACAAAAAATCGTCAGAGATCTCTTCGTGCGGAATTCTCTCGGAGATGTCTCTTCGTGCTTTCTTGCCCGTCGAGACATTGACCTAAAACCCGCTTAATTCCCGACCACGATCAACGAAACAAGAACCCAGGAACACAAAATCACTCCGGCGTCAAGAGGGGAAACAAGGAAAAAAAAAACTAATCATGTGGATTTCGAGGTTGAAGAGAGTTAGGAGAACGATAATGGTTCTGGGTGTTGCCAATTTGGCCGTGATTCTTTCCGGTTTTGTTCTGTCTCTCGTTTCTAACCCACATTGCGACAGCGCCGGCCAACTGTTTCCCCTCTTCGCCGTTTGTTTAGCCGCCGGCGTCAAACTCGCCGTCATGGTTAAGGTCGGAACTACCCAGGAACTCATGGCTATGACCATCATGGATTCTCCTACTCAGAACAGCCTCGAAAGAAAGGTGTGTTTTTTTTTCTTTTTCCAATTGCGAATTTTTGTTTCTTTTTCTAGAGACTAAGTCTTTCAAGGATGGGCGGTGAGTGAATTAATGTTAGAGACATGTCGTGAGAATCTAGAGGTCTATAGATATGTAGGAATGTGTAGCGAGCAGAATTGGTTCTGCGATTATACATCTCTCGGTTAAATTAGTTAGTTAGTGTTTGATGGCTCATTTTACTTTGTGGATTCTGCAATGACACCAATTGTTTTCTTATCTGAATTTGCAGTTGAAGTATAAGACATGGCTTTGGTGGACTCGGTTTGCTATGGTAATTACTGTATTGCAATTTATTGGTGCAACTTACCTTATGTTCCGTGTCGCCAAATTTGTTTCCCGTGATGGAATGCCAAGGGATTGCGTTTTAGGTAAACTAAGACACAAAATTCACATTGATTTGGTTGTCTAAAGTGAACTACTTGGGCAGTTAAAGTCTTCATGTATATTTTGATGGGGTTGAACATGCCATATCGATCTTCCCTCTTTGTTGAATACTTAATGTTTGAAAGCTTTATTTGTTCAGTTATCTTGCTATGCACTTTTTCTTGCTTAAGAATCTCTTTAGTGACTTCCTTGCTCAGGGTTATCTCCAGACACTCATGGGTGGAAGCAAACGCTGCAAGTTGCCTTCTTGATCACAGTTTGCTTTGTTGCGCTGGCACAATGCTTTACGGGTTCAGATATATTGCAATGGCGCTCTTTCTATGCAACCCAAGACGACGCCTGGAAAGCTCACTACCAGGAAGTATTTGACCATGGAATTCGTGAAGTTTTGTGCTGTCTTGGACGTCGCGAGTATATGTAAGTTTAGTGAATATTCCTTTGGCCTGATTCTGGAAACTTATTTCTTGTTTATAAGCAACTTTACGTGTTCAGACTCTGAGGTATTGATTGTCTGCTCCAGGGGTGTTATCGAGGAAGATGAAGTTTGTTCGGTTGCAAGACTGTTAGGTGATCTTGTTTCATATCGCGCATCAGGCACTGGCCATTTGGAATTTTTGGCAGGTTAAGATCTGAAACTAAAACAAGCCTCACTGGGGTTTGATATACTTTATAAGATTAGTGTACTTGGTTAGCAAAATCATTTTAATCATGCCTTGCTATAGTTGACAAAAATATGGAGATAGTTCTAGCTCTCTGTAATCTTGATCAACAATCAACAACTAGATTTTGTAATATTGATCTTTAAGGTTGATCAGTCAAGATTTTATGTTATCCCAAACAATCTATCCGCTGATGAAGAGAGTCTTCTAAAGAGGCGTATGTCATGATTTTTACTTTTGTGGTCTCTTTTCTCTAGTTTTCACCTAGTCTGGAAATCTTCTCTATTCTTTGTCTATTCAGGCCTTGCTCTGTTGCAGAATAATAGCCAATTTCCTGAATCATATGAGGATTGTATGGAAGCTCCAGCATTTCATCTTCAGGAGGCTGCTACGTTGCATAAATTTGCAGAAGCTGCTTATACGGTACGTTTGAACGAGACAGGTTCCAAAGCTCTACTTTATCGCAATGTTAGATATTTCTTACCTGCGTGTCTGGCATTGTGCAGGGGCCACTGCTCGATGTTGGGAGAAATCCTGCCTTATTTTTATGCACATGGATTTGTAGGCAAGGGATTCTAACACCTTGGAGCCGTAAATGGTATGTTATACCTGGTTGACTCGTTTCAAGAAACTCAACTTGTTTCTTTAAAGTTGATGTTTTCCAGTTTCTATACTTTTCCCATGTGTCTGATGTTAATACAGAAATATTCGTATGATATTAATGTAAGAGGTTTCCTTGCAATTATTCGCAGGCGGCCTAAACTTGATGGTGACAATTGGTGGCGAGGTCATGCAGCTGCCTTCCTTAAGTTCATAAATTTTCCTGCTCATGTTCTTCGCCGAGGTCGAATTTGCAGGGTAAGTTGTTCCATTTAATCCTACGTTCCAACACCAAGAGTGAAAAATAGATTATAGTAGTGTTGTGCCTCCGTTATATTGGTTTCACGACCAAAGCAAGCCATGGCAGAAACAAATTGTATGCATAGCTTCCTTTATGGTCTGACACAATGAATGAAAATGGGGTCATATTAAAAAAACAAGAATAACAATCTGTTTATTTGAAGTTTTTTGATATCTTGTCGCATCAAATGCATCAGAAATCGTTCTCATCTATTCTTGTAATTATTCTGTTCTGGCAGGAGAAGTGTAAAGCAACATACTTTGTTATAGTCTTACATTATCTTAGATGTGTTGTAATTGCTGTTCGAGGAACTGAGACGGCTGAAGACCTCATAACCGATGGTTTAGGTCGTGCGTGTTCACTAACTGCTGAAGACTTGGAGGGGCTAACAAAGTCAGTCTCTCTCTCTCTCTCTCTCTCTTTCTCATTCTCTCTTATAAAAGCAATAATGGTGCGTGTGAGTTTGGATTCAAGAATGAAATACTTATGGTTGCAGAAGTTTACTAATTATTAGTTGATGGGTAATTTTAAAATTTCTGCCTTTCACTTAGTCAAGAACTACTCAATGTCTGATGTTTCAAGTCACGTAATCTCTCTCTTGTTCTTCTGATTTATGTTGAGATCTCACTACTCCAAACCCCATCCGTAGTAATGTTTAATGTGTTTTTATGTCAGGCATATTCATGGTATGGATTCTTCTCGTACGCACTACGGGCATTCGGGAATAGTAGAAGCTGCAAGAGATCTATTTATGCAAATAGAAGGAGACCCCAAATTTGGAGGTAAGACTAAAAGGCTATAACTGTCACTTGGTGACCCTCGATTCACCTTTTTGTGTGATATGTTTTAGTAAATTCGTCACAGTACAAGCTTTCTCTAAGCTATTATAGAAATGGAATATGCAGAGTCAGGATCTATTGGGTTCCTCTCCTCATTAATTGGTGATGGGTGCGAGTGTGATGGGTACAGCATTCGCATTGTTGGGCATTCCTTAGGAGGTGCCATCGCCTCTTTACTGGGAATCAGAGTATGCTCGCTCTCTGTTAACAACATATATTACATTACCTTTCCTTGACATATCCTTTGTTTCTGATTTTTGTTCCCTTTCTTTTCATTTCTTTTTTTGGTGTATAGCTTCGTTGCAGATTCCCTAACCTGTATGTATATGCCTATGGACCCCTCCCATGTGTAGACTCAGATGTGGCAGATGCATGTTCGGAATTTGTTACAAGGTATGCTTGACGTTAATGGATGGTGTAGATTATTTTGATTAAGTGTCACTGATGTTAGTCCCTCTTGATGCAACTTCCTCAACAGCATTGTTCTCGATAACGAATTCTCATCACGACTCTCGTATGGATCAATCCGCCGGCTCCAAGTAGCAGCAATCAAAGTACTCTCTCAAGACCCAAAAGCTGACACGGCACTCGTTTTTAGACTCGCACGCCGGTTTTTGTCTGCGAGCAAACGCCAACGACAAGACGTCGTCCAAGAAAATACTTCCGGAGAAGCAACACCATCAATAATTGGTAACAGCTCTTTTATCTCACTCTGTATCTTTTTAGTTTTCCTCTTTTTAGTTTTCCATCAAAAAGAAAGATTATCTTTGTGAGAAAGATTTGCTTTCTTCTTGTATTTTGTTTTTGTAAGCTGACATTTCAAGGGAAAGCCTACAAGAACAAGATCAAATTTACCCAATATGGGAACAAGCTGAACGAGAAACGAGGCAAAACGACGAAGAGTTCGTAAATCCGTTTCACGGTATGGCCTCAGCTGATAATCCGGTGTCTCAGTTTATGGGAACAGTCAAGACAAGAGAAGATGATGACAATGAAGCTCCCGAGATGTTCTTGCCCGGTTTAGTCATTCATATTGTACCCGAAGGAAACAACTTGAGCGTGCCGATATGGCGAGGTTGGACAGTCTGTGATGTGACAGGTGGTGGTTACAAAGCTTATGTTGCAAACAGAGAGAGCTTCAAAGAAATTATGGTCTCTCCATCAATGTTCCTTGATCATCTTCCTTGGAGGTAACTCTTTCTAATCCAAAACTTCGTCCATTTTTTTGTTTTAAATGAAACTCTCTTGGTTCTTAGAGCTACCGGAAATTTTGTCACTCCAGATGCAGACACGCGATGCAGAAGGTTCTAGAAACTCGGAATCTCTTCTGCGATCTGACAAGTGGATCTGATATAGTATGACACTGAACAAGAAAGAGGGTTCTCTAAACTTCGATTGAACTACACAATGTGCATATGTTTCTATTCAAACATCAAACAACAGTTTTACAGTTGTAGATCCCCTTACAGTAGTATTATTGGCTGGTCCTTATTATAGTAAGTGTCTCAAATTTAAATGATCATTTACTTTTGTAGCAAGTTTTGGGATAGTTATGGCTTTATTCTAAAGCAAATCTAAGAACCTTCACTGCAGCTTCCTTGAAGACTTCAAATACTTGTCTCTCAATCTTTCAAGGTAAGAAAAATATGAATAAACCTCGAACCAAATTTGGCTGCTAACACCTGAATGAGTTATGCGAACAAAAAGAAACAGCAGAAAAGCCAAGTAATATTAAAAAAAAAAAATGCTTTTTAAGATTATTATTGAAATTCGTTTGAAACTTTTTTTAATAAAAATTCCATAATCATAATAAAATTTAAGTCATTCAGTTTAATCATTATTTTTTGGTTTTACAAACACCATTTTTTATATATTTTTAAACGAATAAATTCAATGCATCATTCACTAACCCATAGAGAAGATAAATGTATACAAATAAAAATATAATAATAATAACAAGATTTCAGTCATAGTCGTGATAATTTGATTTTAAAAGACTAAAACTAAGCTAGCATCTCTCAAGATGCTTAGGATGCTATTGAAAAATCATAATCTTTTTTTTTTTTTGTTAACAAACACCAGTTTTTAATATATTGTTTAAACGAATACATTCACTGCATCATTCACTAATTCATAGAGAACATAAATGTATACAAAATGATAATAAGATTTCAGTCATAGTCGTGATAATTTGATAGTAAAAGACTAAAAGTAAGCTAGCATCTCAAGTTGCTTAAGATGCTATTGAAAAATCATAATCTTTTTATTGTTAACAAACACCATTTTTAGTATATTGTTTAAACGAATAAATTCACTACGTCTTTCACTAACCCATAGAGAACATAAATGTATACAAATAAAAATATAATAATGGTAATAAGAATTCAGTCATAGTCGTGATAATTTTGATTGTAAAAGACTAAAAGTAAGCTAGCATCTCAAGTTGCTGAGGATGCTATTGAAAAATCATAATCTCTCAAGTTGCTTAGGATGCTATTAAAAATCATTATCTTTTAATTGGATAATATTCCTTTGCATTATATTGAAAATTAAGAGTTGGAAGAGGAGAAGCTGGGTAGATCCAATGAAGCTGAGGATTTAGACCCTATGGACTAATGAAGTCTGTTCTCCTTAATATATAACCGAAAGTTTTTTCCAAAAATCCGACAGTCTTCCACTAAATATTATTTATCTATTTTAAAATTTCAAGATGGGTCAAGCTAGTCTCACGAATGTTTCCTTTTAGAAATATGATTTGAGTACGAAGTGTTGTGGTATGATCTAACACGAAAATCACCAAATGATATTCATGAAATAGTTATTACTTTTAATTCGTTAGATTTGAAATTCTTCATTTATGGATGTTTTAAATTGTTCGTCTAAAGAGTGTGACTAAAATTGCATGAAATTTATTCTCAATTTTATTAATTAATTGTATTTTTATTTTATTAATGAGTTATAACAATGATGAACATCGTTTTATAGTCTTAAATGTCAAAACTACTGGCTTTTGGAATATAATTGTTGTTTTTTTTTAAGCAAATTGAAAATGGGGTGAATCCATGATCCGCCTAGCGGAAAAGAGCGAGTCAAATATCCTTTTTTGAGGCATGATATGTATCGCTGGAGCCGGATATCCGGACTTTTCAAGGTATCCGGATCCGGCTCTGGATTTAACGGATAATCAATTTTACTATCCGGATCCGGATCCGAAAACTCCGGATATCCGAAGACCGAATATCCGGTTTGAACCGAATATTTACGGATATCCGACCGGATATCCGGTTTCATTGATTTAAAAAAAAAATCTTCAATTTTTAAAATTATAATGAGATGACATATATAATTAAAATGTATCATCATAGCAAAAATTACAAATACCAAAAATTTAAAAGCATTCAAGTAGCATTCAAATAACACAAAGTTTAAAAGTTTACATAACAAAAGAGAAAACAGTAATAAAGAAGTTAATTTATCTTCATATCCTTGTATTATTTATTTTCATGTTCTTCTCTCACAATCTGAAATAGAAAATTATCATGCAATATAAATTTTAATCATGTGTAAAAGAGTTAAACCAAAAACAATTTTCGAACATAATTAAAACAAAAAATTAAATGCATATCCAAAGATTTTAAAATTTTCAAAATCTTAATAACAGATAACGGATATCCGATTTCTAAATTTTCTATTATCTGGATCCGTATCCGAAATAACCGAATACTTAATTTCACTATCCGGATCCGGATTTGAACTACACGGATATCCGGTTTTTACGGATCGGATAGGATCGGATACCGGATTGGATAGCGGATACCGGATAATAATTCCAGCCCTAATGATATGTATACAGATAGATTTATTTGTTCGTCTTTAATGTGATTCGTTATTCATTTAGTATTTCATAAAATTTGTATAAACAAAGAACTGTTGACGGTTGGAAAGAAAACTATAGACAGAGAAGTTGGGAGTTACACGTACAAGAAGTCAGTCTCCGTCTCGCTGCTCACATCTGTAGCTTAAAATTCCCAAATTCTTAGTCAAACTCATTTCCTTGCCTGCCGCGTACACTCTTCTTTGTTAGTGCCCCAAAATGAAAACACTCTTTCTTTGTTTTTTCTTTGTTCATATTTTTTTTCATTCATTTGTTTTTGACCAATATTTTTTTATTCATTCTTCTTCTTTTTATGAGAAATTTCCGTAGAAACAAAAGTATAAAGAAACAACCCCTCTTTTTTTTCTCTCATTGACACTAAATAAAGAAGAAAAAAAAACAGACTCCCAAAAAAAGACAGCTGTTGAGAATTTTTGTAATAATGATTAATGAAAATCAATAAAATTATTATAACGTGGTTAATAAAGAAAGTATTGTTTTTTTTCTTCTTAATTCAACTAGTTAAATCGAGTCCTTTTTGCTCCGTTGATCTTTTTGAATAAAACGATATGCTTGGAAAAAAAGTAAATTTTAATTTCCGAAACTATCTATTCTTTCTGTTTGTTAATGATATATATATATATATATATATAATCATATTTAAAAATGTCAACTTCGTGGTAAAAAAAAAGTCAACCTCGCTGGGAAAATGTCTATGTATTTTATATTGTTTTAACTTTAGCTAGGGTGGGTGAAGTCCTCGATCAATACTATACCGTGGTACGTACGTGTTTAAATTATTTGATTTTTTTCCCTTGGATTATGGATTTTCGCTTTCACACGGGTAAACATAATATATGTGTTAGTGCGTTTGTGTTCGTTAATCGTTGGTTAAATCAGATGTCAACGATAAGCCAATTACTAAATTAAAATATGATAGTCAGTGCAGCAATAGATTACAAGAAGACGAAAAAACCATCATACATTTTTTCATCAACTTCACTCACTAGCTCTTATAGCCATAGTTCAGTATATTATCGTTCCCTCAGGATTAATATCCATCGTTCAGTAGAAAGTAACAAAAGACAATGATGGATCAAATAAGTGGTTCCAAAGATATTAATATTGAAAGATTTATTTTATTGCCATCGATAGAAAAGGTGTAATAGAGGTGTAACAGATTGGCCAATGCATGAACTCCTTCGTTATTAATGGTGACATATTGTACGTAGCAAGAAAAGCTAAGTTTACAGTGTCAACAAAAAAAAATACAACTATTAGTGTTACTCAGTGATTCCAAATTGGGTATCGAAATTGTTGCGGCTGATACACCGTTGTAAAACAATATTTCTTTTAACAAAAAAGAACAAAATTATGGAACATATATCGACTGTCACAGATAAACTAAATTTATGGAACTACATCCATTATGAATGAATGATTCTCTTTCGGAAAACAATATTTATTTAAAAAAAAATAATTTCAATTCAAACATCTGAAGAAAAAAATATCCATAAAATAAAAACGATAACCCGAAGAACAGAGGAAGCAACATCGCAGCGCTAGGATTTTGACTTAAGGAAGCACCCCACCCATAGGCTTTCTTTTTTGCCTTTCATTCTCTTGCCTTTTTTTTTCGATCTATTGCCTTTGTTTTCTCAGGTAAAGTCTGATACTTTTTATTAATCCAAAAGTTAAGTTTTTTCTCTCTTTTTTTTTTTGATAAAAACCATATTCTAGTGTTATATGTTACATAGATGTTTTTCTTGCTTCTGCGTAGATTTTTTTAATAAAAAAGCTCTAAATTTTTATATAAATAATGATTAATAATATGTGTTTGCTCTATGTTTAATACAGTGTACAATATTTTTTTGTCCTCCGGGAGATGTCAAAGGCACTTCCACAGATCCACCACAGACAGTCTTCTATTTTTTAATTTTTATTTTTTATTTTTTAATTTTTATTTTTAATTTTTGTCATTTTTATATTTATTTCCAATACATAAATATATAGTTCTAATTCGCTTAAATTACGGTTTATTCTTTTGTCTAGTATGATTTATTTAAAGATTCTTTGGTCTAGTATGATTTCTTTTAAAGATTACAACCACAATATAGATCAAGCTAAAACTAGGACCATTTTCTCTACTGATATTCCGTGAACCCAAGTTAGTTAATAAAATCACCTAAACTAGTTGCTATATTTTTTTATTTTGCTGTGTGTGTGGAGAAGACTGCATAAACATTCTACAATGCTAAGGTCCCATTTTTAAATTTAATCATACCATGGATAGGCTCGAGCAAAAGTTACCATAATCATTCTTTTTTTATTATATTACTCTCATAGTCTAACTTTTTATGTTAAATTATCGTTTTCTTTTTGGACGTTCGCTATTTTATTTTATTTTGCTAAAACGATAATTTAAACTTTGAAGGATGACGTCCAAAAAACAACTTTAAAGGTGTATATTTTTCTAACAAAAGAAAATAAAATCAAGATGTCACAACTCATTTTTCTATCCATTGTATATAAATCTGACAGTTATAAATCTCCGACCACAACGACCCTAAAACTTTGTGGAACACCTAGTTAAAATTGAATTTTATTGTTTTGTTTTGTTTGTATTATACACCGAATAGTAAAGTATATAAGAAAAGCATGTGGCGTGAACAGAGATTATAAGATTACTAGAAAAAATGTTAACTAACCCGAAC